GCATTATTACATTGTGAGTGTGTAAATATGTATTACCAAATAAGAAAACAATAAATTCTAATCACTATTTTGCATCTTAACCACATAATAAGAAGGCTATTCAGAGGCTACCTAATTTTTTTAATTATGCTACAGTTTTTCAATTGGATTTCAATTTCTTAAGTATGTATTGATATTCATTTGCCCTGAAACCAAGTAAATTTTAAGACAGAATCCTTAAAATGCTATTTATTTGAAGCTTTTATGCTAAAATCTATGCCTGTAAATGAAACACAAAACATTCTTATATGGGAAAAAGACATAGAAGCAATTTTTTTTGTACATTCTTACTTTTATTATATGAGCAAAATGGAAAATATTTAAGTGCCGAGCGAAGAAATGTCCGCCCCTAAAATTAGTCGAAAAGTTTAACCGAACCAGCACCCCTAGACTATTTCTAGTATTAATCTATTAGTTTTTGAACTTGACAATATGCATTTGTATTGATTTATACCTGCAACACCCATCAAAAGTGGCCAATGTGCTTACATCAGGTCCTGTCAAGTTATACATAAGTCTTCAAACCTGGCATGTGTATATCCAATGTACAGCATTTCTTTGAAATCTGAAAAATATTTTTAATGACCAAGGTCAACATTATTCATCATCAACATATCACCAATTAATTATCACTCAAATTCACTGTTTAAAGAAAACACAAACCATTATTAACTTTTAAGTAACAATAATACTCTTCTTCATATGTAAACAATGCTTGTAGATTGACCCCTTGACACATTATCTGCTGTAAACACAAACAGTTGCATTGAAATAATGAAATTTTATACCTAGACAGGCTGTATACATCCATTCTTCCAAAATATCAGCTTTTCGTGGCGTATCAATGAAGACAAAGTAAAACAAATGAATTATGACAGTTCCAATTTCCCTCTCTTTAGGTCAGACACTCATATTGATATTTCCATAGACTTACATTATAAGAAATGGTCCCTGATCCTACCTTAAAATTGAGTTTTCATGCTAAAGAGGTAATTTTTCTAGCAGAATGAAATGCCTGACACATAAAAATGTTCCTGTTATATAGGGGTAGCCAACCAAATTTTTTTGCAAAATGACTTCAAAGAGGATTACCCCCCATTTCATTGAAATTTTCTGCTGATCACAGGACTGACATACACTTTTTATAAATGCAAATATCCAAGTCAAAATTATCACAGAGACTCATGAAATATTTCATTTTCTTCAGAAAACAATGTAGTGTTACTTTTTAAATTAGTTTTTATACTTAAAAATACCCCACATTCATCCAATCACCTCATGTATAAATTGACTCATACGGTTTTCCCTGCACTTTTTTTCAGCCAATCGCTGGCCGTGTTACAATGCGTTACCCTGACCTCCAATAATATCATAAGACTTAGTACTACTTGGCGGAAATTGTAAAACCGTCGACACAGTCCCAGTTTTGTCGATGTGTTGTATACTTCTTTTCTCTCGTTCAGATGTTAAAATAAAGCAATTTCCGGAATCGTCGGCAGTAATCGTATGTCCCTCTAAACATCTTGCCTGCTTTGCTTCAACCATACTGATAAGTCCACTCTTTTCTCTAATTTTCTTCAGTTCCTTATAAGCATAGCCCGTTTGGTGGATATGACCGTCTGTATCTATGAGAACAACCACCGGCCAAGTTATTTCCATAGCCCATGCTCGGTTTTCACTTACTGGAGCGATTCCGAATGCTCGGACATTATCTGGCATAACAAACGATTTAAGTAAATTTGGTGTCACTGGTGCAAATACTCTACCAGTTGCCATTTCACTGCAGTGATTTTGTTTCCTTGGGTCGATAAAATTCTGTTGAAGCAACTTGTACGCTCATTCAGCAGTAACTATTTCAATACAATGATTTATATGTCTGATTATCCAATATTCATTAAGTCCACCAAATATTATAATAAGCTACATCCGTGTCATCGGTAAAAACCGATTTCTGATTCATAACACTGATTTTTCATAATCCGACGTACACATTTTTAACTGCATTATTATCTCTCAATTTCAACTTCGTATTATCCGTATCTCTCCCGGTTATATTCCCATTGATTTATAGATGCGTATCGATTACACGTGAACTAAATTGTATTTTACATAAGCAGCGTCTACACATATGCATATCAATAGTTTATGCATAATACACACTCATTGTCACATATTGCATATTAGAAAAGCACATTTAAACAAAATAGGTTAAGTAAATTGTTTTTTTTTTACACTTAGCAAAGGTTAAAACATACAGTTTGTAAAATATGTTATACCTGAGTGATCGGCATAAATGCGTAATAAAACGCAGCTGTACTAGTAGCTTTCATAAATGAAAAAAGTCAGGCACGTAGCGTTCCGGGTATTATACCGGCCTTGTTGCGGATCGTAAAATGCATGTAGATCTGTTTTAATTTGAAAATTTATTAATAATCCGCGTGTTGTCTTTATAGGCTCACGCAGATGATCTACATCTTTAATTATCAGAAATTCATAGACTAAATGACACTCTTCATGCAATGATACATATAAAGGGGGAGCACTCTGATGAACAAGTTATTTTCATTAGAATTGAGTATTTGACAATTCAATTATAGTTTATAATATGTTTATTTGATTGAGTATTATTTGTTACAAATAATAAGTTATTTTCATCATCTTTAAAAGGGCAAAACAAAAATTATACATTCATTTCGATTTAACTGCCGTTCAGTCGGGCAATTCTTACAACAACTTAGCGCGGAAACTTCGTCCATGAAATGACAGCTTTATTTCATTTTTTAGTAGATCTACATATGTAATCAATTCTCCAACATGTTGTACGAAGGTTTTGAAATTTGGTGAAAAAAAAACCAAAACAAAAACAACTAAAACGTCGGAGTTATGAAAAAAACAACAAGAATAGAGATCAACCACAGGCAATCGGTGCGTGGCTTGGATAGTATACATGTACATGACCACGCCCACTTACTTTTTTATAAATTTTTTTTTTTTTCACTAATAAAATATTTTTTTATTCAAAATATTTTTAAAAATATCTTATTTTCAATAAATCAACAAAGAAAATTTGTTTTTAAAAAATTTCATCCATATATACTATTAATATAGTAAAGGTAGAAAGGTTCGCCAGCGGACCTACCACCAGGCCTTATGTTACCTCCCAGATCTTTGTTAATTGTCAACCAATTTTCACCAAATAAAGTGCAATCTACGCAGAAATGATTTTTCTTTCGAAAAATGTACAATATTAGAACAGTTGGTACGACAAAAGATGGAATTTTAAAGCAAAAATGCACTTTTTGTCTAGGTCGGCCATCGCATGACCGAGCCGAAAGTAGACGATTTTGAACATAAATCGATCTTTTTCTTAATAACAAACTAATGTCAGTGCATGCAAACAGTTGAAATAGAAAAGGCAGCTATAAAACTATCGCTTACCGGTCCAAAGTTAATCCAAAACGTCTGCAGGTACGCACTTTCAGTAGTTATTTGCACTAACTTTTTAAATTTCCCGACATTGTACATGTATACAAATTCTGATCCGGATATTCAAGGTACGCATGCTCGGTTCCCGCTGGTACCCAGCTTCGCCCAATTTTTATTATGCGAAAAGGGTACGCATCAGATACATCCGGGTCAGCATTTGTATACATGTAATGTCAGGGAATTTAAAAAGTTAGTGCAAATAACTACCGAAAGTGCGTACCTACAGACGTTTTGGATTAACTTTGGACCGGTAAGCGATAGTATTATAGCTGCCCTTTCTGTTTCAACTGTTTGCATGCACTGACATTAGTTTGTTATTAAGAAAAAGATCGATTTATGTTCAAAATCGTCTACTTTCGGCTCGGTCATGCGATGGCCGACCTAGACAAAAAGTGCATTTTTGCTTTAAAATTCCATCTTTTGTCGTACCAACTGTTCTAATATTGTACATTTTTCGAAAGAAAAATCATTTCTGCGTAGATTGCACTTTATTTGGTGAAAATTGGTTGACAATTAACAAAGATCTGGGAGGTAACATAAGGCCTGGTGGTAGGTCCGCTGGCGAACCTTTCTACCTTTACTATATTAATAGTATATATGGATGAAATTTTTTAAAAACAAATTTTCTTTGTTGATTTATTGAAAATAAGATATTTTAAAAATATTTTGAATAAAAAAATATTTTATTAGTGAAAAAAAAAAAATTTATAAAAAAGTAAGTGGGCGTGGTCATGTACATGTATACTATCCAAGCCACGCACCGATTGCCTGTGAGATCAACAAGGTAAAGGCAACGTTCACAGGACGCGGCCCCCGACACACTCTACCTCGGATACAAGGGCGAAAGGAGTGGGACATGCAATGGGAAATAATATCAACTAAAACAGGCCCATAAGGCAATTAAAGGGATAAGGGCTGTAAGGGTGAAAAGGTGGGGGGGGGGGTTAAAATTGGGCGAGGGGGGGGGGTGAGAAAATACTTACCGTCAACGACAATCCAACAAGACAGACATCACAAAACATGTAAACATGAAGTTCATATTTTCATATTTTGATGAGTGGTGAAAAATGTGCGGCGAGTAGTGGTGGTGGTGTGTGTGGGCGGGGTGGGGGGGTGGGGTCGGGTCGACCAACAAATTACCACTGGACCAAGGGTATGATCCAAGAACGGACTACATTTTCATTCGATATGAAATAATGGCTATATGCAATGGCGTTGAACGAGCCTATTTATAGATGGTATTTGAACAAACATGTATTATATTCAGCTAAAATTTGCTAATAACTGGCCGATTGGAGTTGTACTTTCAGAAACCCACGGTAGATTCTTTCCAAACTGAATGATAATATCTAAATTGAAAAAACAAATACGATGGGAAATATGTCGTGTAGAAACTTATTCTCTTGTTTTTGAAAAGTAGTTGACGTTGGACCAAACACAGACCCTTAAAACAATGGAAACACAACCATAATTAAATAACTTTATTACAAAAGAAATAACGCAAATAAAATAACATATAAAATAATTTAAATGACATAAATAGATAAATTAGCAATGAAAGAATGTAAAATAAAATAACAGCATATCTTAACATGACAGCGCATCATTCATATTTAAATTCACAAAATAAATATTATGCATCATATACATGTAGCAAAGCAATAAGTATACATGTAGTAGCAACATCTTACTCGGACGATTTGTAACTTGGTCGTGTCGTTATCTGCGTCTCTGATGACCTTGAAAAATTCGTCTCATATTTTTCTCTAAATAAGTTCAACACTTTTCTAGTACACAGGAAACTTATCGCAATAAATAATCCTTGAAGAGTATTACAAATGATAAATAAATACCACAATATGGTATTGTTCGTGAAGTTGGCAAGAAAAGCAAAGGCCCACGTCAGACCCATCACAATCGACAATCTTAAGTTAATAATAAAAGTACTAGCCGATGTACCTTTGCGCGCAAACGTTCCTTGCGTTCTTGCTCGTGTAATGTGATAGGCCGTAAAACCAAATGAAATAAAATCAAACACTTTGAATATTGCTAAAGGCCCCGCGAAAAACAGTAGTAATGCGTTTCTTGAAGTTATCCAACATATCCCATTTCCATAATTAGGAACAAACGAATTTGTCGATTTTCCATCAAAATCCACGAAATTAAGAATATCCGCAACTGCTACTATTATTAAAGGCAAACACCAGGCGTAAAGACTGTAATAAATGAACCTTCTCGTTTTGGATGACTGATGCCGGACCGAGACAAACTTATGGGAAAATGTCACCCAAAGATCGAATGCAATGACGTTCATCCAGCAAAATGAGCTTAGGAAGAAATAGTGCATTAGAATTGCGAATGTCACACACAAATAGTGCAATGACACGACCTCTGACGCGACGAGGAATAACACTTGCGACACCGCTAATGTAATGGTTAGGCACATGACATTTTTCCCCGGCGTGTTGAGTAGTTGCTGCGGAAACATGATGTAAACAGCAAGTGTGACCAAAGACGCTGTTATTGACAATACTAATCCAATAAATGAAACATAGCTTTCTACTGGACTATACGGATACAAATTTCTAACTTTAGAAGCGTTATTTCTCGCGCTTATATTAAGTCTTTCCAAGCATACGAAAACATCTGTGCCATTTTTCCAGTATTCGGTGTCATTAAATGTGATATCGCGAAAAGTGATTACTTTTGTGTCGTTTGAAAATTTTAATTCACTGTCCTCTATAATAGTAAGTGTGCAATTTTCTGTAGTATTAAACATTGTCCTGTTGTTCATAATTCCAACAAGTTCCTGGGCAACTGGATCACATTTCCCATTAAGAGGTACAGTATAAGGCGGGCAAAATATTTCTCTGCACGACTTTGAAAATGGGTCATAAATTTCATTATCGTTGCATTCGTTAAACGGCGTTCTTTCTTCATTTTTTATTTCCCATTTTGAGTTAAAGTCAACAATCATCCGAAAGCTATAGACCAAGGTTGGTTGCATTCTTTCAATAGCAAAGAAACGTTGCGGTTGACAATACATGTTCAAAGTAATCTCGCCATTACACATGGCGCAGTATTTATTTTTATAAACATCTCCTTTGTCTGTGTATGTAGTTGAATAAAAACCATTCACACACTTTTCGTGAATCTTCTTATCATTAAATGATGGTTTACATGTTGATACTATATTCGTATTTGTTTCACAAGTCCGAATTGTTGCAGACGTGTTTGGCAATTGAAAAGATATTTCACAGTCCTTTAGGTCAGATATATCAACCAAACTACTATCTTCCACACATTTCACGTCCGCTTTGAGAAATTCATATTTAAAGACATTATTGCAATGTGCGCAGTGCCTGTTTTTGTACAAAATTCCCGCCATAGTTTGGTCAGAAACTGGAATTTGTGAATATATATCATCACTGTCAGGCTCGCTTTCACAAAGCCTTCTAGTAACGTCATCATTCCAAATTGGCAGACATTTTGAAACAATCACCAAACCGTCTCCGTAGCTAGAAATTCCTTTTACGTGCGTGCATGTTAATTGATCAGAATCTAATTTAAGATCTTGCAAAGCTTCCGCATCTTCACAACAATCTTTCAGGACACTGCATAACGAATCACAGTAGCATGATTTGGACGGTATAGTTGAGTTACATCTGCTTTTTATTTTACAAAATTCAGTACCGATACTATTGTATCTTTTTCTAAGATCAACTGTAGGTATACCGCTTATAGGTGGCACTTTTTCGTCATTAATTATCAATGGTGGTTGTACAGTAATATTAAAAGTCTTGTTATCTTGACCGACATCTTTACCATTATCTTCTAATACTTTCACATGAGTTATGTTACTTTCCACAGGTTTCAAAACGTTATTATCATTAGCTTGATTAATTGGCACGTTGTTATTTCCATTAATGATATTTTCTACATCGTTTATATGTGTAGCATTAGTTACGACAGGTGAGACGCCATCTATGTCTTTACTTTGATTGATCGGTTTTGTAGTATTTATAAAACTTACTGCAGCAATAATTGATCCATTTTCATTAGATTTATTAGCATTTACTGAATTTTCCGCATTAAATTTTGTTATTCTAGTAGGTGTAACATCATTACTATTGTCTTTTATCTGGTTAGCTTGTCCTATTGTATCTTGCGCTCTACTTATTGACATTTTAAGCGTGGTACCTTTGTTTATCATTGAACCATTATTCACATTTCTAGAACTATTTATATGAGCAGGTAAAATATCTTTTGTATCAACACTTTGATTCACCGGCGCTAAAAAGTTTGTTTCACTTACTAAAGTCTTTTGTTTTCCCTTTTCACTAGATTCACGTTCCCGCAAGACATCAACACTAGCACGATTTGTATCATTTATGAAGACAGGTAACAGTTTTCCTGCCGTTTCATCTTTGTTAACATGCTTGATTGTTTCATTTCTTACACTTATAGCGGACACTGGGTTTGTTTTATCACTGGATTTATTAGGTACATTTACATTTTCAGCTGCAACACTTACGCTATTGGGAATCACATGTTTAATTTCCTTTACATCTGTCATCTGGTTGAGAGGTTTTATAGCGTCTTGTATTTTGCTTATTGCTGATATAGGAGTAGGTCTATCATTAGATATACTATTACTGAAACCATGTTGACTTTCTAGTGTTATTTCATTTACTGCAATAGGTTTCAGCCTATTTATATCTTTACTTTGGTCAACTGGTTCCATTAAATCAGTCATTTTCCTAACACCTTCCCCTGATGACTTAACATTTGCAGTTTTGTTTTTAAAAGTCTCATTTCTAACCTCAACACGAGTTACTAAAACTGGTTTTATAGTATTATCGTCTTTCTTTTTAGTTAGTTGTTTTATTACACCTAGTGTATCATTATCAACTGGTAAAATATCGTTTGTGTCTCTGCTTTGGTTTACTGCCATTGAAGAATTTGCTTTACTAACAAGAGATTTGAGGGTATCCTTTCCTTGATTTGCATCAACACTGGCGTGAGTTGTATCATTTATTACAACAGGTAAGAAGCTTCCAGCTTTATCATCTTTGTTAACATGTTTGACTGTCTCTTGTCGTACACTTATTGCGGACACCGGTTTTGCGTTATCAGTAGATTCATTCGCAGTGTTCGCAGATTCAACATTTACACTTTTAGGAATCACAGGTTTAATATCTTTTACATCTGTGGCTTGGTTGAGATGTTTAATGGCGCCTTGTATTTTGCTTATTGCTGATAAAGGAGTGTCTCTTTCATTAGATATACCATTTCTAATACCATGTTGAGTTTGTACTGTTTTTTCATTTACCACAATAGGTCTTAGTCTATTTATATCTTTACTTTGGTTAGTTGGTTCCAATGAATCAATCGACCTCTTAAGCCCATCTTCTGTAATTGCACCTTCCCAAGAATTGTTCGAGTTAACATCAGTTCGTACATCAACGCTTTTACTATTTACTATTACTGGTCCAATATCACTTGTATCTTTTCTTTGGGCCACCGGTTTTATGGCCTCTACTGAATTAGTAACTGACACTGCCTGTGTGCGGTTTTCTGTGCTACTTTTCGGATTACTTGCACTTCCTGTTCCGGTTCCGTGTATGTCAAAGGTTAGTGTAATCTCTGCACAAGTTCGTATATCCACATGTATAATAAATAGAACTGTTAATAATGTCGTTAATTGCTTTATTGACGTCTGCATGTTGACGGAGTTTTTTTAGTTCAAATGTTGATTGTACTTATCTGTTCCTTATTTACATAATTAAACTTTGAAAGAAAACATTAAAAAAATAAACAAACTTTTAAAAACACGTATTCTATCCTTGGAAACGATGACGTTCCATGCCGAGTGTTCTGTGAAATAATCATTCCGCAAAATTAATCCGAAAACTGATTAAATTGTGTGACACACTTTGTTTACTCGTACACATTACGTCGTCCATCATCAAATCGAAAACACCCCTCTGGTAGAAATATAACAGATTCTAATGAAAGTCAATTAATAACTTGCGTTTTTCAGGATGATTAATGAAAATTAACCAGTCCTTATTAGTATTCTCTGTTTACTATTGGCTGATTGAAACAAAATCACCAACCTGCTTTACGTATGGTTTTAATTAGTCATTAGTTAATTACATTCTTTACTAAACTCTACTCATACCTATGTATACCGATCATCATTAAAAACGAGGTCAAATCTTCATGAATACCGCTGACAAGTACATATATGAAGTTGTCGGGGATATAAGCTCATATACCGATGTTTAGATCATAAGTTCTAGCAAACGGACAATACTAAGGAGCTTTGCAGCCTTTCATAGAGCCCTCAGTCTGAAATCAGTCTTAAGACTGAGACAATTTTGCGTTTCAAAGAAAAAGTCCTAACTTATGATCTTATAATGTCTGAATAGCAATGCTGATGGACATTTACACATTACGAATACAAGGGTGGTCTGTCATTGTACTTCTTTACTTTTCTCTGGAGGATACATTTATGTATAGTCTCAATAATTTGACTGATAATATACTAGTAAATGTTTCTTCAAACGGTCTTAAGTGTTAGTCCTAAAATTTGTTTTATCTCCAAAGACTTAAGGAAAAACTTAGGACTTTCTCTGAAACGCAGCCTAAATTTTAATTTCATGCATGTCCGACTTTTAGGGACAAGTCATGGACAATAAACACGTGTTTTCTTTATGTATCATGTAATCCGTAGGCATGATATGGTTAAATTGTAGATTTATAAATACTGAAAGCAATACTGAAGTCTTTTTGATACATCAAATTATGTTTTACACAACACTAATAATAATGAAAATAGGTAAAATAGCAAAATGTTGAATAAATCTCTTACAAACAAAAACGTAGAAATGGTAATCATATATAAAACAAGTTTTAAACGTTTTAATAACGTAAATATTAACGTAACGTAACGTTTGACGTACAGTATACATACGTTATATGTCACGACATGACAAATATCTTCTCCCCTTCCTACGTTAAAATGACAGGTAAATGACCAGACTTGATCTACACTGACGCGTTAACTTAGCAAATACTTCATCGGCTGATACTGCATTTACATGTACATTTTTTTTGTTACATTTTTATAAACATTTTTTTGTGGTTGTCTGTTTAATTGTTTGTTTGTTTGTTTGTTTGTTTGCCTCGTTGTATTCACCAGTGTTTTGCAAATAACTATTTCCTTTAAATATGATAATAATTTCTACATAAAATCTAAAAATAATAATTATAGTTTTTGTATAATAACCCGTTATGTTATGTTGCCTGCGTTTAAAATTTGATTTTTTGAAATTTTTTCTGTGATAGGCAAAACTGAACCTCGAACCTCTTACAAAATTCAATTTTAATTAGTTTCGCCCATTGTTTTCACGTTTCTAGGGGAAGGGCCCATGCACGCATTCTCTTACATACGCCGCTTTTAATGGAATGGTATGAACATACATATCACATTGAAGGTTCTATCATCACCGCGGTATTAACACATATTCAGTTTTTTTAAATTCAAAATTACACGATTTCAAGTTAAAATGTTGGATTCTGCTTCAACCGGTGGCTAGAGGGCATGGTCACAAGCTTGCACATATCACTACCGTCCATGAAACCGAGTCTGTAACATTTAGAAAATTGCCACTTTTTGCGTTCTTTAAGAAATTTCCTTTTTATGATTACCACCGTAATGAAGATATCCAGTATAATGAAGATAACCGGTATAATAAAGTTAACTGGTATAATGAGGTTAACCGATATAATGATGTTAACCGATTTAATGAAGTTAACCGATATAATGAAGTTAACCGATATAGTGAAGTTAACCGGTATAGTGAAGTTAACCGGTATAATAAAGTTAACTGGTATAATGAGGTTAACCGATATAATGATGTTAACCGATATAATGAAGTTAACCGATATAATGAAGTTAACCGATATAGTGAAGTTAAACCGGTATAGTGAAGTTAACCGATATAATAAAGTTAAGTGGCTATAATGAGGTTAACCGATATTAAGTGATGTTAACCGATATAATGAAGTTAAACCGATATAATGAAGTTAACCGATATAATGAGGTTAAACCGATATAATGAAGTTAACTGATATAATGAGGTTAACCGATATAATGAAGTTAACCGATATAATGAAGTTAACCGATATAATGAGGTTAACCGATATAATGAAGTTAACCGATATAATGAGGTTAACCGATATAAAGGTTCCGTAAAAATGGGGGTTTACCGATTTTAAAAATTCCGATTAAAGAAATTCCGATTAAAAGGGTTAAACCCGGTATTAAAAGGTTCCGGGTATAAGAAGTTCGGGTTGGGGAAAGTTTAAACGGATTGAAATTTTTGGAAAACCCCGGGGGCTGATTGGGGAAAATTTCTATGGCAGCCCCAGGGTAAAAACGTGAGAGGAAAATTTTTTCCCGGGTACAAGGTTCTACCCCTGGTCTAAAAGAAAACTTTTTTTTTAATTTTCCTTAATTTTTCTCAAATTGGGGTTTTCTTTAAAAATTTGGAAACCAAAAGTGGGTTTTTTTTCTGTTTATTTCCCAAACAAAAGTGAAATTTTTTTTTTTGGGATAAATACGGGGCCTTTCTAAACATTTGGGGGTTTTTAAAACACCCCTTTCTTTTAGAATTTTATAAAATTAAAATCACCGGGGCTTTTTTGTGAAGAACACAACTTTGATTATAACAATTAGATTTACAGAAAATACTAGTGTGCAAAACCATTCAGAGTAAACATTATGTGGAACCATAAACATTATGTAGAAACCATGGCCTCAAAAAATTTCAACCCAACAATTAATTTTATTTCGCCTTTCATGAATTTTGCCACTTTTCGCATTTCTTCGTCTACTTTATCTCCAAAAATGAAACTTTCCGTGGCGTTAGTTGTGTACTTTGACGCCGGTGGATTCTTTCCGTAAACTTCTGCAACTTCCCGCGTCAAGCTCGCGGAATTTCCGCAACACAGTCCAATGTACTGTATCCCGGCCGCCTTTGCGTCTTCAGCGAACTGGCGAATGTCCACTCGAGTACAACGAACACAGTCTAAGTTGTCAGGGTAAACTAATTTGCCTATATATAAATAGATATATACATTTGTAATATGTAAGTATTGTTAGTTTTTTAATAACAAATTTGTTTAAATATTAAAAACAATTCAACCATTCACCACCGTGGAAGAAGAAGAAGAAAAGAAGAAACAATACAGAAAGAAGAATAAACTAACGACGAAAACAACAACAACATCAGAATGACAACTTGAGAACAACAGCAATAACAGCATGAGAAGAAGGAGAAGAAGAAGAAGAAGAAGAAGAAGAAGAAGAAAAAGAAAAAGAACAACAACAACAATAATAAATCAAACCCAACAAAACGGCTACACAACTAAGCCTCGTATCACGTCGCTTCACATCTATCTGACCAAGAACACACAACTTTTCCAGAAATTGATATATTATTTAAAAAAAATTCAGGCAGATCTCCAACAAAAATTTAAATAATAATCCATAATCAATATACAGACCTGTTTTCGGATCTGTAACTGAGAAAAAAGTTTTCTGTTTTCCTGTAGTTCTGTATGGCACTGGCAATGCTGCTATGGGACCCTGAATATTAAATAACGTTTGTATGATAAAAAACGCCATTAAATCAACTTAGTTATACGTGGCGAATAGCATTACATGTGTGAAATTAAAGGGTATGCTTTTCGTTAAAAGTCGGAGGAGAAAGCTTAAGTGCCGTAAATGGATGCAAAGTTGATTTGATTTGAACTGACGTAACTGTGAACTTTTTTAGTAAAAACATTTGGCAATATTTAAGGTCCGAGCTGAAAAAATAAAGACATGTACTGCCAGCATTCGGAGCAAAAATGGTCTTTTAAAGACTCGCTGTATGTTATATTTATATCGTCATAAAAATGTTACAAATGTACATCATTCTCACCTTGCAAGCGTTTTTTACTTCTCGAATAAGCGGCATCATGACGTCAGGACCACGTGAGCAATTTAAGCCAACCACCGACGCCCCTTGATCTTCCAGACGCTTGCATGCTTCGGGAATGGGAACTTCGTCAGTTGTTCTGTCCGGAAAATGGGCTGCAATCGTAATGACCGCAGGCAATCCTAATCAAAAGTAAAACATAAAATCACCAACAAGCTGTACTATATGAATATCAATAAGCATATTGTACGATAGATCTATTTAAATTATTTATAAAACGGAATACGTGCCACATGACTGTGTGTGAAATATAATAACGTCTTCGATCTTTTGATATTTCGTTTAGGTTCGGCAAACTTCGGGTTAATTTTCGTAACTTAACAATTTTTGGGCACCAAGTATTTAGGTTGAAGCTTTCCAAAAAATTCACTTCCCTTTTCCCTGAATCAAAGGGTGTTTTTTAGGGGGGTATCTTTTGCCCCGCCATACGAAATCAAAAAGTCTCTCCAAAAGATTAATTGCCCCCTCCTCCACCGCCCATTCCACTTGCTCCTATACATACATTTATTACATGTCTTAAAATTCATTAAGAAATAAACAAATAAAAAAAAAACAAACAAAAACACAAAACAAAACAAAACAAAAAAAAACTGGTTATGACAAACGCACCTCCTATGTACAAATTTATGAAATCACATGTTTGTATATGTTTACCCAATCGTAACTACTCGGTCCTTTCCGTCAAACTTCGGATAAGAATTATTATGAGCAATAGCCGAGATCGATGTTTTATCTTATTCTACATATTTATGGTCTTAAGTCCTAGTGTATTAAACAATGATCGTTTATAATCGGAAAATGATTGAAATTCAGCCAGAACAGGGAACATAGAAAAATGATTAAAGTATCCAAAATGGGCTACTATATTTTTTATGGTTTCAAATACATGTACATGTATATTGATTTTATATGCATCAAAAGAAGCCTAAATGTGTTAGGTTACAGATGTTAACATTAGAATAAGCTATTCCCAGCATAGATCTATTCGTTATGAGCAGCTATTTTTCAATAATACATTTAACAGACAGTAATAAAAATAATGATATTAAAAATGACAACGCGGTATCAGAATCAATTAAAATATTGAAATTGGTTTTATCTTTAATTAATTCAAATAGTAACAAATAATGAGTCGAAAGACAGAGACCCTCGTGACTATATAGCGTAAAAGAAGATGCTAACTGATTGATAATGAAATACATATATTCGCCGACACACTTACTTTAAACATATCATATATCCTTTGATGGTTATCCTCATCGTGTTCTTTATATAACGGAGTGTTAGAAAGACCTCCTGCCATCAGCTTATCGTATTTATCGGCCACCTTTCTTGCCAGACTTAAAGCTGTCCTATTCAACCTTTCTACATCCTTCTCTCGTCCACGTAGCTTCATCATCTCTCTATGTGCGTAGTACTTAAATGGAAGAATACACTTAATATAAATTAAAAGTAGGAAAATACTTAAGATAATACTTAAACTATATACATGTAATGACACTTACACACACTGTTCCTGGGCAGGATGTCAAACGATTTACCAGTACTAGTTCCTTCATTTTCAAAAAGAATCTTAAAACTTCTGTGCTTGCCAGTAAAGTGCGAATGGCCGTATAATGGATTTCATGATCAATAAAAACGTGGGAATCGAACCCAGGTGGCCCAATTCACAGTAAAATGTTCTACATTTGTAATTATTGAGCTAACAGGACGGTTCTTAACAAAATATAAAACATGTTCTTAATGTAAACTAATTAAACATTAGAAAGTATATACCTAAATATAAGGTTAAGCCTAAGTAAAACACAAATTATATAGGTTTATTATTTCAATACTAGTATCAGGAAATATTTTTATATAGAAAATCATTTGGACACCAGTTTGTGCTTAAAGTCAGTTCCCTTCAGTCAATGGAAAATTGGAAATAATGATCAGAAAATACACTGGGCACGCATGTTTGTGCATTCAGCTTTTAAACATTTACAACATAAATCTCAAAGAAAGCATTTTGACAGCAAATATTACTGTAAAGGCTTCCATAACGTCACTTCCTGCGAGAGCAAATTCCTCGTGTAACATTTCTACGGCTTCCGGTTTTTCCAATACGACTTCCGGTAAGAAGTTGCCGAATTGTAGGAAACCTCGTCGTTCTAACTCCCATAAATAACCTTCAGCAATTACCACAGATCCTCCATCTTTTAGCCTATCAAGCAACCCTAGGTGTCAAAATAAACAACTCAATTTAAAGGCACATAATGCTTCAGAAATCCTTTTAAAAATCTTTAGAAATGTCAAGCATGTATTTAATAATGTTCTAATAATCAATCAAACATGTAAGCTGTTTTATAACTGAAAGAAGTAGTGCTCTGAATGCGCAGCAATATGTCGAAAAGGTAGCAAAAAGTAAACAAAGTAGTATTTACTACATGTATTTAGACATACAAAATACTTATTCACTGTAATTATACCTAATGCTTACAGACCAAAAGAAGCACAAGAAGCAAAAGATAATTATTTCATGTGTATGGCAAATGAGTACTTTTTATGAAACTGTTACAAGATACAAAAAGTTTATGAGAAATAAATATAACATTAATCAGACATAATGGGCCTTTAAGATGGTCCTTATAATTTTCAATGACTGCCTCTCGAGCGTTAAACAAGGTAAGTTGACACGTCATATGACGCTAGATATAGTAGACACCAATTAAACAAAATGACGTCAAAATGCATAATTGCACAGATTGTTTTATCTAAACACTAAGACCGTTGAATTTGCATTGAAGTAGTTTAAAATATGTATATGAAAACTAATATGCAAAAGTCCTAGCAAATGTTATTTTTTAATCGGACACACCTTACAATTTCAAAACCTCATATTTTCATTAGAAATTTTATAGATTTTATTAGCAGTCTCTTAATCAAAGCTTTTATAATATAGGGTTAACGCACGTTTTTCCGTGTTATAACGTCTGCAGATTCCCCGAGGAACGGTTGGTGCCCGAGCCCGGTAGGGCGAGGGCTCCAACAGTTCCGAGGGACTCTGCAGACTTTATAACACGAAATAAACGTGCGTTGACGCTATTATAGCATAAAATTTTCAAACAGATTCGTGATGTATAGTTTATACAAAACACAATTACATTAAAGTCTTGTGCTTGGACGGTATTTATCCAATTCTATGTTTTACGTATGCGTTTCATTTTTCCGGGGCCAAAACTTGGAAAATTCTCGGAACCGAACGAAATTTTGAATTTCAATTGATTTAACAAAGCTTGGCCTTTGGAGATTTATTATCTCAAGAAAAAAAACGTTACATTACTCTACCCTCTACCCAAGACAAAACATGACCCTCAGAAATTCTTAGAATGATTTCAGATTGACGGTAGAAAAAAGATCATCGACATCAGAATCGGTTTTTTTTTCAAGCAAACAATTTTATAAAAAAATCAGGCACTAAGCATTATTCTCTCAAAGAAATATAAAGAGCATTTATAAACATTAACATAAATAAAAAACATTTTCTCATATTAATTTTGTGTTATCTAGTTTTGTAAGTTAATCGGAGTGTTAAACTGAATGACAGGTAGATTCTACTGTATTTGTTTACATTGACAACTGTCCGTTTCTTAGAAAGGGCGACAACCAAGATTAGCACCGATGTCTATACGCCGTTTTTCCGGCATAGGTTCTTGAAAATGCGACTGAGGCCCTCGAATCAATAAATTTCAATATAACAAGAGCGCATGACTCTTCGGCAAACAGGCCAAATCGTCAGTTTTTGTTTGTTTGTTTACTGGGCCCTGTATGTATTGCGCATAGGTGAAACCGGGCTATAACAAGAGCGCGTGACTATGTTAACACATGGTTTTGGTCCCGTTATAACATGGGCAAAAGAGGGAAAAATAGCCGATTTTATGCTATAATACTTAATACCTAATACTTATACATTCATACATTGAAATATATCGTAAATGTTACTTTATATGATTAAATAAAACAAAAGGCGGTTTCTTATACTCTTACCCTGTTTTGCGGCCGGTATCACCGTGCTTGTACTGAAGCACCTACTCGACCATAACCACTTTGATACACCAAACAATCTTGTTAATGCTACAATTATATCAAAATAGTGAAGTACTTAAAAGGATATAAAAGCAGACATTTATTTTACAATATTGTAATAAAGAATTCAGATAATTTTAGATGCTTTATCTATACTGAGTACATGTAGAATAATGCATTAAATGTAAACAAAAGTAGTATTTTGACTTCCACACTCAGCTATAATATTATTGCAAATAAGTTACTTTTGGCACCAATAACTCAAAGCTTTTTTTTAAAATGAATATATACATTTTAAGGCTTAATGAACCTTTAAGAGTAGTTTTATCGGTCATTTCAAACTACATGTACTACATGATTTAAGCAACAATGTAACATCACGACTGTGATCTTATCATCGGGCCCATGAAATGCTATCTCATAAATTCCCCGTCATGGAAAATAAATCAACATTTTTGCAGCACTCAACCATTTTTAAATGTAATTAAAAACTTTTAACAAGAAAAGGCATGCGTATATGGTAAAAGTAGGGTTACAATGTGGCGGGTAGTAAAATGTCACGAAAGATAACAGGGTCAAAATTCATGACATTATCGCATTTGTCCCATAGTATAGCGATCAGAGATACTTCAATGTTTATTTAGAAAAAGTCCAGAATGACTAAATTAATATTTCATTATGTATACAGAAACCTCGCCTGGTGATGTTGAGGAAACCACATAAACATGTATATATATGTTCATGTATATGGAACGCCATGACTGTCTTATGTGATCAATGTTTTTGCTATCTTGAAATAAGGACATTCACAAGATAGCAAAAACATTGATCACATAAGACAGTCACGGCGTTCCATACATGTAAATCATCTCTATCAACATGAAATGCCTTTTGAGGTAAGATTTATCATGCACATGCATAATAAAGCATGTGTGCGTTCATGCACGTGCATTAAATATCAATTTACATCAAATTTGCAACTGTAATCTAAATATTGAAGTTAAAATGGGTAAAATATCAAATGTTTACCTTTCATTTTAGATGCACTCTTCCGTTATCTCTAAACACTACGGTAAACTGAAGTCTTTATAATATCAATTTCTATCAACGGCAGTTTATTATACACACAACGGCCGTTTATATGCAGTGAAATTAAAGCTGCATCTCGCCACATGAACAAAAAATCCGGAAAATCAACTTTGAGGAAAATTTAAATTTTAAATAAAAGGAAAACATTTACAGTAAAATGCTTACATGTATGATGCAAATAATTGACTGATTTTGCAGAATCATCACCATATTTTAACAGCGTGACTAACGCAGTAAGGGCTATTTTTGCATATTTTGACATTTATTTGGTAATTTGCTTGGACTGAACGTACCGTTTGCAATGTGTAAATAACTTTCTTTGTCACTTCACTTTTTAATACATTTTCAAAAGTTTCATGAAAATTGGCATAAATCTGTAGACGAGCTGAATCAAGGCGTAAATATTAGTTGCATTAATCCATTCTCTTTATAGTTGCATTTTTCAAGTTGAAGTGGCAGTTATTAAGTAAAATTGATTTTAGTGGTGTTTGAACCATACATTTTGAGGGAGTATACCGGTCAGATTCGAATGTATGAACCATAGAGCTAGCTCGGAAATCAGCTCTTCAATTTAAAGGGTCTACAAAAAACTTAAAATTGTGAAAAAAGAGGTACATATCTCCCAATTCGGTTTTCATTTACAGATTAAATGCCAAATGTCGAAGAATCTTCTGCAATCAGGTTTATTTTGAGTAAAAAATCCTAATTAAGCAGAAGTAACAATTTTTTTATCTGTCCTATTTAGGAGTATAAAAGTCATGATTTTAATACTCCTAAACGGAAAAAAACAAAGTTCTAATTTATATCTTAAAACTCTTTATTACGAGTAAACAGTTTTTAAGAAAATTAAGACTTTGTACCACAGAGATTTTCGACCATGCGACCACATACATGCATCGAGGACAAGAAAGGAAAGTGACCGTGCGACCACATACACGCATCACAGGATTCCCCTTCTCTTACGAGAAAGGGACAAAGAATTGTCCGCCTTTTTTTAATAAAAGGGCAGACTTTAAAAAACATGCCATTTCCTTATTGATAAGGAGGCTAATTTTCACAGATATGTCTTGAATTAGTTTATATACAAAAATAGTCACGCAAACCAAGCGGGGTCAGTTTTCGTCCTTTTAAGTTTGCTATGATATATTAAAGAAATCATATACAATTTTATGGAAAATTTTGAGTTTAAATTTTTTTCTACGTTTTATTCTATGTATATAGAAGAATCATTGAATTTTTGTAAAACATTAACGCTTCAAAAACGTTTTTAATGGGAGATAAATTTCACATTTTATTTTCAAATATTTCCCTAGGGGGATTTTGCCAAAGTACGTTTTTATTTTCTATATTCGACTTATCGTTCTTGTAATAGGTAATATGATTGACTGCAAGAAAAAAAAATAAACATGAGCAGCCGACAATTCTGGCACTGGTAAGGCTATACATGTTTCAAGATTTCATTTTTGTGGGTAATATCAATATAGAAATTTGTTAAGTTAGTCAGCTCTAACTTCAGAGCCGGACCAGTCAGCACGGATGTTCAGACTGGCTTACATGTATCTCTATTCCGGTAAATTCATTGAGCCGCGTCACGACAAAACCAACATAATGGGTTTGCGACCAGCATGGATCCAGACCAGCCTGCGCATACGCGCAGTCTGATCAGGATCCATGCTGTTCGCTTACAAACTCTATAACAAGTAGAGAAACTGATAGCGAACAGCATGGATCCTGATCAGACTGCGCGGATGCTCAGGCTGGTCTGGATCCATGCTGGTCGCAAACCCATAATGTTGGTTTTGTCATGACGCGGCTCAATTTTTGGTTCCAGCAGTGTAAAGGTAAACGTATACCACCAAAGAGATCAATTTAAGACACCGACTAGGATGACTTCAAATTCAACTAATTATTTTGTACATCTCAGCAAATCCTTTTCTATCTGATAGCTAGCTAATCCTTAGATCACTTACATAACGTAAATATTGACATAATAATGAATTTAGTTATTGCGACATTTTACGAAAGTACTGTGGCAGAAATTGGTGCGATATTTTAATTTATTTTACGTCATCATTGTGACATTTAACGCCAAAATATTTTGGGACATGTAGAGGCGGTTGCGACATTTAGCGGCAGGTGCAACATTTAGCGTCTTTGCGACATATAACGGCATCACACAGTCTTATCGCCAGGTTTCTACTGCGTTTCTAACATAAGAAGAGCTATTGTTTTTGCATATTCTAAGTTTATATTTCACGAATGCTGACTGTGGTTGTACTAGGTTTATATTTCACGAATGCTGACTGTGGTTGTATTAGGTTTATATTTCACGAATGCTGACCGTGGTTGTAGTAGGTTTATATTTCAAGAATGCTGACCGTGGTTGTAGTAGGTTTATATTTCAAGAATGCTGACCGTGGTTGTAGTAGGTTTATATTTCAAGAATGCTGACCGTGGTTGTAGTAGGTTTATATTTCACGAATGCTGACCGTGGTTGTAGTAGGTTTATTTTTCACGAATGCTGACCGTGGTTGCATTAGGTTTATATTTCAATAATGCTGACCGTGGTACCATTAGGTTTATATTTCAAGAATGCTGACCGTGGTTGTAGTAGGTTTATATTTCAAGAATGCTGACCGTGGTTGTAGTAGGTTTATATTTCAAGAATGCTGACCGTGGTTGTAGTAGGTTTATATTTCAAGAATGTTGACCGTGGTTGTAGTAGGTTTATATTTCAAGAATGCTGACCGTGGTTGTAGTAGGTTTATATTTCAAGAATGCTGACCGTGGTTGTAGTAGGTTTATATTTCAAGAATGCTGACCGTGGTTGCATTAGGTTTATATTTCACGAATGCTGACCGTGGTTGCATTAGTTTTAAATCTGAAGAAAGCTGACCGTGGTTGTGGTTGATTTGTATTTCACAAATGCTGACCATGGTTGTAGTTGGATTTAATTTCACGAATGTCCTCCGTGATATTAAAAGCTTTAAATTCCACGAATGTTGATGGGCGTAGTAGGTTTATATAATACGAAATCTGACCGTGGTTGTAATAGGTTTATAAATTATGTTGTTTTCACGAATGCTGACCGTGGTCGTATAATGTCCTTGATTTTCAACTTTTAAACTCATGAATCAAATATACCACAGATAAGCTGTCTATTTGTTTACAGAAACATTTGAATTTCGAAATAGATAAACAAAATAGATAAACTAAATAGATAAACTAAACAGAAACAATGGCAGAGATTAATTCCTTGAATGAAAATACAGGTAGTTTATCACTGGGAAAGACATTAGATACATAATCGGTGCGCAACATTTAATGTCTTCCTTCCTTTTATAATATACTTTATATAATGTATAAATTTTTGGTCAAAGCAATGCTTTGTCTTATAGATTGCATGGAAATTACGGGACTTTGAACCCCATATAGCCCCTAAAATGCTTTTATTATCATTTTTGAAAAAAGCTTTTTATTTTTGAGTCTAGTTATAGTTTCAACAACGTATTCATTGACCAATTACCATATTTTTCTTTGCTTTTATTATAGTTTTAGTAATTTAGTATTTTATATAGAAGTAAAAAAAAGACTTTGTTTTTATTTTGCTACCTTTATGTCAAATAATTTCACAATTTCACGGTTCAGTGCTACGTACATGAAATGGTTAGCATCATGTTCCAAAACCATTTTCATTATTATAGAACTTATGTTTCTCTTTCGGGGGGGGGGGGGGGGCAATGTGTCAAACATCCAGTCTTACCGGATATATATAGCTTTTATTTAAAAGAGAATGTAAATTAAACCCTAATTCCGATCGATGATTGTTCAAGGTACTTTACCGCAGTTAGACGGAATTAACCAAAATAGTCACTTCCAAAACTAATAGCTAGAAAGAACGAAAACTCACATGTTTCACTTTACTTTAAAACTAAAACTTTATCTAACCAAAAGAAAAAACGGGTCATTTCAAAATGAGAATGCATTGCGGCGACGTGAGATTTAGAATGTAGATTCCAAAATGTGACAAACCGACCATAACTTTCCACCAAAGTGATCACCTGCCCACCAAGGTGATTGTCAGCTGATAGCATAGAATGTTTTATTTAATATGGGTAATAATGAACATTTGTTGTACGGTATTTCTCGGAGAATTACAGAGTAAATAAATAACCAGGATTTTAAGATATGGATATGTGTTTTGAATAGTGAGCTAGTTAAATCGATGTAATAAAATCAAAAACACATCAACATTGCGACGGATTTCGGATTTTCTTCTTTTAAAACTGACCTGCTGCTTATGTTTCTACGGAAATGGGCGAGAACGACCGATTCAATAATTATTATCTATTTATAGTTAGTATACGGCAAAATCTCAGTTCGGAAGCTATTATAGGAAGTTGGCGCTTTTACGTATACTTTTTTATTTCGTTCAAGTCATGTGTCTTTTTGTATAGGCAGGTGTTTATAAGTAAGCATTTATGTTTATACCCCCGCACAACGAAGTTGTAAGGGGGTATACTGGAATCAGCTTGTCCGTCCGGCCGTCGCCCTCGTCCGGCCGTCCGTCGGTTTTTCCTTGTCCGCCCAATAACTTAAGATTCCTTTGACCCACAGTCTTCATATTTGGTATTTAGATTGGTCATGATTAGTAGATGATCCCTATTGATTTTGAGGTCACTGGGTCAAAGGTCAAGGTCACAGGGGCCTTGACTTCAAAAAGCTTGTCCGCCCAATAACTTAAGATTCCTTTGACCCACAGTCTTGATATTTGGTATTTAGATTGATCATGGTTAGTAGATGATGAGGTCACTGGGTTAAAGGTCAAGGTAACAGGGGCCTTGACTTCTAAAAGCTTGTCCGCCCAATAACTTAAGATTCCTTTGACCCACAGTCTTTATATTTGGTATCTAGATTGATCATGGTTAGTAGATGATCCCTATTAATTTTGCGGTCACTGGGTCAAAGGTCAAGGTCACAGGGGCCTTGACTTCGAAAAGCTTGTCCGCCCAATAACTTAAGATGCCTTTGACCCACAGTCTTTATATTTGGTATTAAGATTGATCATGGTTAGTAGATGATGAGGTCACTGGGTTAAAGGTCAAGGTAACAGGGGCCTTGACTAAAAAAAGCTTGTCCGCTCAATTGCTTAAGAATGCTTTGGTCAACAGTCTTCATATTTAGTATTTAGGTTATTTATGACTAGTAGATGACCCCTTTTGATTTTAAGGTGACTATGTCAAAAGTCAAGGTCACAGAGATTTTAATATAATAAGCTTGTCTGCTCAAATGCTTAAGAATGCCTGTCCGCAGTGTATTGATTTTGACATTTTCACATTTGAAGCATGTAGAATACATAACTTAGCAATGCAATGGCTTAGAAACCTCAGATTTGGCAGGGACATTGTCCTTGAGCTCTAAATGACCACTGCTGATTCTGACAAAGTGGTATGCGGGGGTATTCACGCCATGGCAGTGGCAGTTCTAGTTATAAGTAAGTTTTTTTTAAAGCATTTACTTTTATTAGTAAGCATTTACAAACCGTATTGCTATTAGAGTGAAATCGCGTGGAGTTGTGTTTTGCAAATGGCGTTTACCTTAGACATTGCATAAAATTCTTTGTTTTTTTTTTTGGTCAAAAATGAAAATAATAAAAATATTGTTATAACTAAGACGTCATCCGATAAATACTTTATTACAATATCTAAAAATAGAATCAGTGCAGATACATGTATAATATATACTATCACATAAATACAACTTCTGTAGAAGAAGTTTGTGCTTTTTGTGATTAATTTTATTTATGATAAACAGTGAAATATTGGGTTAAGTTCGTGAAATAAAATCAAAAAATCTATAGTATCACTCACAGTGTGGGTGATATAGCTTTGGGTGTGCGCTCGTGACAATTTTCTCACTTCTCAGTGTGATATGTGATATATAGCATATTCGCTCTAAAGAAACAAATATCCTCAATATACTGTGCAATTGTATCAAATGTCAAGAAATGTCCGTTCATGTGACGTAATTTTAAACGTCATTGATATTGACCATCAACTTAAATAGGACAAAATACGTCATTCGTGTATGAAGTTATATCCTTACTGATAGGGTAAATTAAACTTATAATACCATAATGTGAAATTTAGAACTGCATGTACAACAAAATGTCTGTCCTTTTGAGAAGTAAACCCCTCTACAGAAATCAGTTACATGAAAGGGGAAATATTATTGCTTTTTCTTTTGTTCAATTGTCAGTGTCTTTATGTTCCTCTTCTGTTTCATGGTGAGCTTGCAGGTTTAATTGCTTTAGTTCACTCAATGTAAAATCTCCTATAGAGAATTTTCTAACCTTTGAATGAGCTTTATTAATTTTCTCGCCTGTTTCACCGATTAGAATATTAAGAGAGATGTCCGGCGAGTATGCGCACGAGGGCGGCTCCCGGCCGTAAACCTGCGCCACCTCGCGTAACATGTTTGCAGCGTTCCCGCAGCACAGTCCGATATATTGGACGCCGATATCTTTCGCTTCCTCGGCGAATCGTTTGACGTCACTTCTATTGCACAAACAACATGTAAGGTCAAGTGGGTACAGATGGCGATCTGAAACATGAAATAAAGGTTTTAGATTTAAGAGTAGATTTAGCAACATTATTCTTTTATTTATCTCAACGGGCTTGTTTTGTTTGCAAGTTAGTTTTGAAGATTTAACAAAAACGCAATTCCTTCTAACATTAATCAATAGTAGGGTGTAACTCTTAGAATAACACCTTAGAATTTGTGATATGAACATTAAACAGTTGAGTAAATTTTCAAGAGGCTAAAAAGTGGTATAAAATGCGAAACTTTTCAAATCTATTCATGGTATTCAAGCTCTAACAACAACAAATAGATTTGACATATGTTAAATCCTTTACAGGGATAATTCTTTGACACTAGTATAAGCCCGGGTCAGCAGACATCGCTGTGCAGCCTGACTAGGACTCTGTACTGTTTGTACTTTGATACTGAAATTCCTTCATTTTTGAATGGATTGTGCCAAATGAAAAGCAGGGCAAATCCATTAGTCAAAGTCAGCAGGCTAGTGTTAGACTAAACAAAGTGTTGCAGCTACATTAAATACCGTATTCCGGTATATACCGGACAAGGTGCTTAAATGATTAAAAACTAAAATTCGCCTTTTCACCACCGAAATGCACTTTAAGACGTCTAAATCACCTCTTCACATCGATTTATATATGATCATGAATGAAAAACGTAAAAATAGTCGAAACAGCGACGTTTTTCTACTTTGTGATCATGACTTCTGCAAGGTCTGGAGGTACTGCTCCAACACTGTAGTGAGTACATGTACTTGTTCATGTACATTACAACTGTAATTTGTAATTACAGATCATGCACTTACCAGTGTCCGATTCTCGGAATGACATAAAAGTCGGATATTTCTCAGTGGTTCTAAATGGAACAGGCAGGGCAGCAATCGGTCCCTGAAATTAAAAATACAGGTTTAATATGATGCAATATTAAAACGTTATGCAGGTACGTATATATGCTTTTGTACTACATGTATCTAAAAAATAAAAAAGTAAATTTGCCATTTCAACTTATGGTGTTATCTTAAAACTAGCTAAATACTTTCTCTTATAACGCAGAAGAATAGAGCATATGTGGTAAACTAAAAGAACGTGCTATGTTACTGATTTTGGATACCATTTAACTGTAACCGCCTAGGTTTGAATCTCACAATGGACTTTGACTTATTTCACGGTGGGAAGCTGATTGAGGAATGCAAGTGGTTCTAAACAGAAGCATGCCCTAACAAAAATAATATTCAAGGGAACACCTGCTGTTTTTCATTTAGCAGTTAAGCTTTGAATTCACAATGACGTTAACAGTGTACGTGTAATCTAAAAGTTTTTTTTTCAGATTTACACCCCCCCCACTCAAAAAAAACAACAAAACAACAACAAAAAAATACAACAAAAACACAACAACAGGCAATGCTCTTTTTTGGGGGGAAATGTCTAAATTTAAACACGCATAATGTTAAGTCCATACCTTACAAGCTTTTCTTATCTTCCGTAATAAGGGCAACATGGTATCTGGTCCTCTGGAGCAATTTAAGCCTACTACCGCGGCACCTTCCTCTTCTAAAGTGCGGCAAGCTTTCGGGAATGGTATATCATCAAGGGTTATGTCGGGAACGTAAGGGGTCAAGGTCATGACGGCAGGGACGCCTGCAAATGTAATATGATATTTCATAATTGTTAAACTTATATGCTAAACGGAATATTTCTTTTTTTTTCATTAATTATTTAGGTTGTAGCCAGAGTTTGAGAAAATTCTTTTCATAAATATTACATGTATATCTGAACTGTTACAAGTTTTAAGCGGTCTAATGTATGGTTCTATTTTGACAGTCAAACAGATGACACCGTCTTAGTACCTGCTTTTTTGATGACGTCAAGAGCTATCAAAGCTTCACCAAGGTAACAGAACGTTTCTGCAATGATATAGTCACACCCACCGTCAATGGCCCATTGCACCTGTTCCTGTAGACAAACATACGAAATCATTCTTATTACTTTTAATTGCCTAATTATAGCATTCTTTAAATTTATAATTTCTAATGATATCAGAAAAAAGCTAATGAAGTCAATTGACTTCGCTGTCAACTTCACTCATTAAATCTTAGCAATGTTCGTTCAAGTGTTCGTTCACAAATGCTAATAGCATAAAGGGACACACATTCGTCGTTCGACTGTAAATAACGTTTCAAATTAGAAAACAAGTGTCTAAACTCACAGTGAACATGTCTCTTGCGTAAGTATGAGAATCTTTGTCATCGACGCTGTAAACACCAGTTCCGTTTATATTTCCCGCCATAAGTGTACCAGTTTCGTCTGCAACCTCACGTGCCATACGAAGAGCGGCCTTGTTCATTCTTTCAAGATCATCTTCTCTTCCAATGGATCGCAACTTCTCACGATGAGCATAATACTGTGAAAGAAAAATAAATAAATTTCAACCTCTTTAGAGCGGACCTCTGCAGAGCAATTACCTCTTTACAACAGCAATATCAAATTTTCTAAAAGCAAGACTTCAAAAAAGATTTCACCTTTGTAGTGCAACACCTTTCAAAAACAACCAAAGTTTTTGTCTATCAAAGAATGTTGCTCTGAAAAGTACTATATAATTTTACTAAGTTATGCAAGTCCTGACCACAATGGATAAGGTCTGAGCTACTTTTTGACCAACTTAATGATATTAGGTAAATAGGGCGTAGTTACCTTGCATGGACTTAATCCCTAAGTCACTTATGGTCAACAAGACAATCTTTTTTTTAAAATAAATTCTTAGAGTCCTAGAGTTGAATTTTATTCATTTTTTTTCTAACAAACGTGTATAAGAGCAAAATTCCGTATGAGGCATAATTGTGCATAGTTTTACATGCAAGCATGACGGCAATTTATTGATACGTAGGTTCACACAACTAATTAGTGCGACTCAGGTGAGCTATTTAGTTATGTTAGGACATTCTTATTTTCTTACAATGTTTTTCTTTTTTAAATTATGCTGAAAAAGCGATATGTGATATCATCTAATAGTGATCTGTGACATGACATCATCTTATACCGATCTGTGACATCATCATATACCGATCTGTGACATCATCTTATACCGATCTGTGACATCATCTTATACCGATCTGTGACATCATCTTATACCGATCTGTGACATCATCATATACTGGTATGTGACATCATCTATTAATGGTATGTTACATCATCTTATGACAATATGTGACATCATCTAATAGCAGTTTGTTACATAATCTTATAGCGATTTGTGATATCATCTTAAACCGGTATGTGACATCAACTTATAGCGGTATGTAATATCATCATATACCGGTATGTGACATCATCTTATTACAATATGTGACATCATCTAATAGCAGTTTGTTGCATAATCTTATAGCGATTTGTGATATCATCTGAAACCGGTATGTGACATCAACTTATAGCGGTTTGTGACATCATCTTATATAGCGGTTTGTGACATCATCTTACAGCGGATTGTGACATCATCTTATAGCGGTATGTGACATCATCTTAAACCGGTATGTGACATCAACTTATAGCGGTTTGTGACATCATCTTATATAGCCGTTTGTGACATCATCTTACAGCGGTTTGTGACATCATCTTAAAGCAATTTGTGACATCATCTTATAGCGGTATGTGACATCATCTTAAACCGGTATGTGACATCAACTTATAGCGGTTTGTGACATCATCTTATATAGCGGTTTGTGACATCATCTTACAGCGGTTTGTGACATCATCTTAAAGCTGTATGTGACATCATCTTATACCGATATCATATGTGACATCATCTTATAGCAGTTTGTGACATCATCTTATAGCGGTTTGTGACATCATCTTATACCGGTATCATATGTGACATCATCTAATACCGTATACCGGTGTGTGATATTATCTTACTGCGGTTTATGACATCATCTTATACCGGTATGTGACATCATTTTATAGCGGTTTGTGATATCATCTTATAGCGATTTGTGACATCATCTTAAACCGGTATGTGACATCAACTTATAGCGGTTTGTGACATCATCTTACATAGCGGTTTGTGACATCATCTTACAACGGTTTGTGACGTCATTTTATAGCGGTATGTGACATCATCTTATACCGGTATCACATGTGACATCATCTTATGGCAGTTTGTGACATCATCTAATAGCGGTTTGTGACATCATCTTAAGCCGGTGTGTGATATAAACTTACTGCAGTTTGTGACATCATCTTATACCGGTAATGACATCATCTTATACCGGTATGTGACATCATCTTATAGCGATATGTGACATAATCTTATAGCGGTTTGTGACATCGTCTTATAGCGGTATGTGACATCATCTTACACCGGTATCATACGTGACTTCATCTTAAAGCGGCTTGTGACATTATCTTATAGCGGTTTGTGACATCATCTTATACAGGTATGTGACATCATCTTATAGCGTTTGGTGACATCATCTTATAAAGGTATATGTCATCATCTCTTAACAGTATGTGACATCATCTTATAGCGGTTTGTGACACCATTTATTATACCGGTATGTGACATCATTCTATAGCGGTTTGAACTTGTATAATATAATTAATTTATAATTTTTATATGAAGATGTAAGAGTAGTTTCCCCTAGATTAATCTGGATCTTTACCCACTTTATACGGGTTGAAAATCCAGGTAGTTAAAAACTGCCAAAGTCCGGTTTTTTCAGGTTGTTTATTGCTCAAGGTCGGTGTGTGCGCACTGTTGTTATCAGCCGTGGTTAAACAAATGACACACTGCATTTATTTAGGCCATCATGATAATAGTAAGCAACAAACCTTAGATTTATCTTATAATGCTGCACATTTCATTGCATAATCGAGACATTTTTACATGTATATACACGGCTTCTGGCAATTTATGACGAAATTTCATTGTAGCATTAAAAGGAAGTTTGCTGTATTATAAATTCGTTATAGATATTCGTCACAGGTTATATGACCGTATATAAACGTTTGAAATATAACCCTCGTCTAGTGGCTCGGGTTATGTAGGTAAACAACTGTTTTTAAAGGGCTATATAAACTGTCAAAAACCTGTATAGCATATAATATCAAGGTTATTTCAATTGCTGATAATGTCGTTGTAGTTTATGCTGACAAGTGCCAAAATGAATAAATGGTGCAAAACAACCCTCCTTAACATTTTTTCTTCATATCTTGCAAAGGCGTTTGCAGCTTAAAAAACAACCAGCTTTTTAAAATTTAACTCGTCAGGCATGTATTTTTAATGAACTGGAACTGTTTCATTACCGTAAATGCTTCTACAACGTCACTTCCTGCGTGGACATATTCGCGATGCATTGCTTTGACCATTTCTGGGTTTTCTAAGACGACTTCCGGTACAAAACCGCCGCTCTTCAAATAACCTCTACGCTCGAATTCCCACATATATCCCTCTGCGATGATGATGTTTTCACCATCTTTAAGGCGTTCGGCTAGTCCTGCAAACAATAAAGCTTTAGTGTTACTTTACAAAAATAAAAACAAATAAAAAATAAATATAATGCAAAGGCAAATGCCAACCTACTGCGAGTAAAACAATACCCGATTTTCGTTTTATACTTTTTTTTATCTTATTTAATCTTCTTTCACATTATATCAGGTCCCTTATGGCTGAGGGGTTGCCTTTAAGGGCTGGGGCATCAGAATGTCAGCCACCGTTGAACCCTGCGTGATTTTAAGAGGCGACTTAATGGATTCGAATAATTGGAGTCTATGGATTCCTGCAGGTGAATTGGTTTTGACCCCGGGCTTGCTTTGAAGTTTGTAACCCCCGAGGTTAGCCATCACCATCTGTCCTGTTTTGGCACCATATGACCTAAATTGTGTTGGTAAGCCGTTAACCAAACAAACATAGCAAGCAGTGTTGAACATAATTTATTTACTTCACTCCGCCTTCCAGCCTGTCCCCTGGGATGGGTCAATGGTTTCAAATGATTGGTGCATTATAACGATGCCCTTTTTCGAATGAACCAACATTCATTATACAAATTTGAATTTGTTTTTATCACATTTTAATGTTTTGGAAAATAACAATAATTAAGGTATAATATTGTACAAGTATGAAACAGGAAAAAAACTACTTCATAATTATGCACTGATGCGTTTTAACGCGCATCAAAAAGGAAATAAAAACTACTTCATAATTATGCACTGATGCGTTTTAACGCGCATCGCAGATCGACAGGTTACGCTCTCTGGGGCCCAAAAACATCGGGATGTATGAAACAGGAAGTAATGAGACTCATTTCTCTTCTAACCCGTCCTCTCACTAGACAGGTGCCTTTGATGTATCCATAAATATTGTTTTCTTAAAGATATTGCAGTCGTACACTGATACCTTTTAGTATAAACAGAGATGTAGATAACATCTATGTCTCTGGTATAAATACTTTTATCTTAACTGATCACTTAATCACCACCATTTAATCACCACCTTTATAAAAGCAAAATACCACCACCACTTCCAACAACAAAAACAACAATATCATCAACAACAACAACAATATCAGCAGCAGCAACAAAAAACATAGAAAAAAAGAGATATGTGTTTTTAGAGGATGACAGTTTAATTCCTTGTCAGAAAATGAAAAAAGTTACCTTTTGTCGTCATGCTCCTTTAGATTCCCTTCAAAATGCTCCTCTAGATTCCCTTCAAAATCCAAGACGGAGTGATGTCTTTCAAAACCTTACAATGTATAAATTAGAGATTGTAAGCGAGAAAAATCAGGGGCATCTACATGAATGTTTACCATACAAAGTGTGTTATTTACACATCGGGTTGATAACATCCATGATTATGTGAAATTATGGAACACCGTTTATATGATAGAGCAATTACACAGTATGTAGCCTAAGAGGCGTACGTACATGAATTGGCTTGTATAATTGCACTAGTCAAGTGTAATCCCGGCCTCAAACCCCGAGACAGCACGGGAAGTGAACCGAGTTTTAAAACCGTCTCCGCCTGTCCCCGCATTGCCGAATGTCTATATATGCTGTGTGGGGATATATCCAAGACGCATCACGGGTGCAGCAGGAGGGGAGGGGGAGTGATATAGACCTTTTTACAACGCGGTCCGTTGCTATGAAAAAAATGACCGGAAGTAGTATTTTTGCGCATGCGCAATTTGTGTAGGGCAAAAAATAGACATGCCCTACATAGAAATGAAGTAGAAATTCATAGACAGTTCCGAGTTTGTTTAAGGTAAAAATTAGAAAATCATATAAAATAGCCTTTAACAGAAACACAAAAGCTGCCTTTATAGCTTTGTGGCCAAGATTGCCCAAAAAAGGCATGGAAAAGACGATTGTTTAAGAATTCTCCTTACGATCACTGACCTGACATTGAGATTATTGTTGTAAAAATATGTGGAAATATATATATTAGCAAATAAAAAAGTCAATTTAATTGTTGTTGAAAACGTCCATATTAAAAAAATATTTTTATTACATATAATATGTAACATTTTTATATAAATTTTATTGACATTTAAACTCAAGGTAAAATATCATTCTGAAAAATGTCGGAGCACGTGATATAATGTATTTTTAGTTTTCAGTTCCTTTATCCAACTTGACAGAAATGCCAAACAGAAATTTTTTAAGTCACATAATTTATTTAAATAATTTTTCAAACTCTTGTGAAGTTAAGATGGGTGGTGGAATAACACACATTTTGTCCGGTTCCTTGTAACACATGGAAATGCACGTCACGTACACTATTAATTTTGTCAATTCACAAAATCAATAAACATTAATGAGGTTAGTATAAATAAAAATTACTTTAATTACAATTCAGCATTTTAAGCAATTAACTATGTCATGGTACTTAAACGACCCGGTTGAATGATATTGTTAAAGCCTCAGTCTCACTTACTCCCGGCAGAGCCCAGGATCATCCCGGTAAGTTACCGGGATGATCCGGGACGATCCGGGGTGAAATTATTGTTGGGGTCACACTTACCCCGGCAGCACTACGGTAGTTCTCAACTAACCACCCAGGATACGCTCCGGATCATCCCGGATGACGCCGGAAGAGCCCCGGTTGACCCAGGCAGAGCCCCGGTCGATGCAGGCAGAGCCCCGGTAGAGCCCAGGACGATCCAGGCAGAGCCCCGGTAGAACCCCTGATTGATTGAAAACGCCCGAAAATGATAATATTCATACATAATTTTTATTTCATATAATATCTATTGTTCCAGAATAGTATTTCATGACGATTTTCTGAAAAATCCTTATGCCATACAGGATAGAAGGGAATTGGGAGGGGTTTTTATACCAGCAAGTGCAATCATCGCAAATTGTCGTTATTCTTTTGAAATGATCCGGGCTTTGCCGGGGCTCTACCGGGATCAACCGTAGCTCTACCTTTATCATCCGGGGCTCTGCCTGTAGTTTCCGGGGCTCTGCCGGCATTTTCCGGGGCTCTACCGTAGGTCTACCGGCTATATCATACCCCGGATCATCCCCGGTTTGTGCAGGCAGAGCTACGGTGCTTCCCCGGTATAACCCCGGTCGTTCCCGGCAGAGCTAAGGATGAAGCCGGCAATGCTATACCTTCCCGGATCATCCCGGACCACCCCGGTGATATTAAATATTTTATTCCATCCGGGGTCGAATGCCGGATGTTCCCGGATCATCCAGGATCATCCAGGACGTTGCCGGCAGAGTTACGGATGTACTCCGGTTGTTCCCGGTCGTACCCCGGTCGTTCCCGGATCACCCCGGACGTCTACCGGGGCTCTGCCGGGATGTAAGTGAGACTGTAGCTTTAGTAGCTGGCAAATAACAACCGGTCACGTGTCAATCTTTTTGACACTTACCGCCTTGTCAATCCACTTTCAAAGGAATATCAATTGTTTAATATTATGTAATACATATGTAATAAAATGTGATCTTTAACACTCTGCTGTTTTAATTTAAATTACCGATGAAAAAGTCACCTAATGATACCTTGAACAGAGGACTTTTGGTCGTTGAATTATAAGTCCCGCTAATTTTGTATATCTGTTATAAATATCAATTCACGTTTTAAGTACTTACCGCTTTAATTCATCCTAAAATATCTTTTTTCTGGGTGACATAACTTGAAAATCACGCCCTTTAAAGACTTTAAGTGCGCTAAATGTATGCTATCGTTATTGCGCTTTTGCCCTACGCAGAATGCGCATGCGCGAAATGCAACATCGGTTGCTATGGAAAAATCGTACTGTAAAAAGGTCTATTTATTCCAAACGTCAAAGTCCGGACCCATGTTCCACTAGCGAGTTTGAAGTTGACTTAGACATTTCTAGATAGTCTTGTAATAGACATTTTCTTACGATATTTGAAGAAACTTTGCTTCTCAAAGGCCCTTATACGAACTCATTCTTTAAGTGATCATTATTTTATAAAGGCTATTATCCATTATTCATAAAGCCTCATAAAGCGATTATATACAAAATTCTTCATGAAAATGTTTGATATAATTTAGGGTAAAACGTTCAATTTGAATACTTTATTTTGCTTTTTAACTTGTAAAACCCCTGGTTTTTATCAAATGAAATAATTGCCGTATAGCCATGCATAATATAAATTAAAAATAAATAATTAATTATTGCTTTAAACTGGGAATGGTGTAAGGCATGATGATGATTAGCATGCTCTGTTACATTTGGACGTAATTGGAAAATATAGTCATCCAATACCGTTTTGGACAGAATTTAGCAGCGAATCATTAGAGGGGTCATCAGACCTCTCCACAGTGTTGAGAATGATTGCTGGCGGCATCCATTTTTGCGTGTCAAATTGAAACTAATGCATCGCATTTTAAGCCTTAAATCATAAGAATCAGTCTACAAAATTGATATGCGCATGGTCCGCTTCAAAATACGACTTGTCTTTAACGAAAAATAATTATCGAAGTGAACAAATCGGTACAAGGAAAAATCGGAAAATATTATTTACGTTACTTAACACCAAGATCAATGGTTCATTCCGTTTTTAATCATTTAACTTGTATAAATCGATTATTGTTTTCTAGATAGAGTGTTACTATTTAATGTTCCAAAAATAGTAACAGTGAACATTATAGCTACAATACCATCATGCACTATTATATGACCGAGTGAACCGTGTACCAAAAAATTTGCTGCTCCTTTAACTTTTGAACCGGTATGACTAAATTACGCAACGGAGATTTTTTTTGCGTAAATGGCGCAAATGGCACACATTTTTCTCAAGTTTGATTTTCTTGAAATTTTGTGGTTGGAGGCACGCAGTTGTAAATATCGTTTATTCCAATCAAATGATATATACATTTTTAATGTTAATCTGGAACAAAAAATGTTTGATTGGCATACTGTATGCCCGTTTTGGAAAATCTCTGGTGTTTATATAAGAGTATCTCCAAATATTTTCGAAATAAATAAATCTTCAACAGCTGCAAAAAGACCTTTCGCATGCTTCTTTTTAAAGAAGCAAATTATTAATGCATCATTCTGATTGGCTAAGACACGCGGTGTAAGGGCTTAATTGGTCAAATCTTGGTAATTGTATCTGTTGTCATTGAAGCACCGCGGCATAGCGGTGATGTGTGCGTTTTGACCAGGCCGTTGGCTTTCTGCGGAACTATCTTATCCTGAAGTCATTTCCATATCACTTGCTCTTATAACTTCGACAATTTCCGTAAATTTCCGTAACGGTGTTGCTCTATGACTATGTAGAAATGTACCGAATTTTCACGAGCTCGTATTGTAAAACAAATTCGGATGTCGGACACATAGTTCATAAATCGTCTTGTATCTGATTTCATTTGTAGGTCAATACCCAATTAAAGTTCATGTGTGTTTTAAAAAAATCAAAACCTAAAGTTTAAAGTTTGATTACAATCCAGATTACAATATATTGGCACACACATTTTCTTTATATTTACAAAAATATAGGTTGCACTGTATGTTATCAAATCAAACGTGTCTTCGGTTCACTTATCATAACATGTTTTGACATCATATGAAGAATACTTTTGAATATAGTATGCAAAATTATGAAATGGGGTTTCTTTTGTCACCAACAAAACAGATTTTAACTTTGCGCATGAATAACATGTTGCTGAAATGTTTTTGTGTGCTACATTTATTTCTATTATAAGTCGAACACGATAACGTTTACATTAATCGGTCGTACTATTATGACATAAAAGGTTGTGCATACATTTTGCATTTTTATTTCAATACAGAAAATAAAAGTTTACATAGACACGTAAATCCGAGTAGCGTAGTGGTAAGAGAGTTCAGATTAAGAAGAGTTCATGTGAAGAAAATCATTTATTTTTCGAGATCAAATCTGCAATTGTGCAATATTTTTTGTTTTGTGTCTGTATGGTTTTTACTTTCAGAAAACATTTTCATATTCTCTTTAATAAACTTGTGATTTATTTAATTTTTTTATACAATTTAAAGTTAAACTTGTAACGATTTAGAAAAAAAGAATGTATTTGATGTTAACAGTCATTTAATTAACAGATTGAATAGTATTCTCTCTGAATTCAATTTTCAACATTTGTTTGACAATTTCGGCTCATTTGTATATTTATATATTTAATTTTCTTCCATTTCTCATTTATCACTCTAATCACGAATGTGTTGCTGCTGAAAGCGAATGTGTGTAAAACTATAAAATTTTCTCTAATAGTAGTGGGTGAAAGAAATTCACGAGGAACTTAAAATACCTAAAAACACAAAAATATAAGAAAAGAAAAATGCCTTTTCCAGGAATCGAACTAGGGTATCTACCACTACGCTATTACGCTGAACAGATAAAATATGAATAACTGTTTGGGTGATTAAAATTTAGGCGATAATAGTATCCTTTTATATAAGAATTATCGACACCCCTTTTGTCAATATAAATATTCCAGCGTTATAAATGCATAACGTGAAAAGTCTTCGATTTTTCGTCGTTTCCGCCGAGTCAGATATTGCTAAATTCCGTGTGATTCCGTTCGTCTATCCGTACCATTAATCATGCTCATGGTGAATGTCCAGCTTCTTGGCTTCTTTATGCAACGCTTCAAGTTCATCCTGAGTAAATTCCCCTAGGGAGTACCTCCGCACCATCCGGCCCTCTTTACTTACTTTTTCGCCTGCTTCTCCGATCATTATATTATTTGACATGTCCGGTGCGTACGCAGATGCTGGTGGTTTTCTCCCGTATTCTTCCGCTATCTCACGAAGCAGATTGGCCGCATTACCGCAACATAGTCCAATATATTGTACTCCGACTTCTTTAGCTTCTCTTGCGAACTGACGGACTTCTTTTCGGTTGCAAATGAATCCGTTGATATTTTCTGGATACATCAACTCGCCTGAAAAAATTAAAGTTGACATTTCACACTGAAATAGAATCTTTGAAAAAATATTCTTAGTCGACTGTCTATTAGCCCTATCTATCAGATTTATCTTTTATTAACTACAGGGGAAAACCTGAGTTACTTTATTGAAGCGATAATTATATAGAAAACTTAAAAACAGTAACAAAATAGTTTTATCTGAAATTTAAATGCATTCTAACCTGTTTGCGGGTCCTTTAAGGAATACATTGTCCGACACTTCTCGTCTGTATTCATGGGTACTGGTAATGCAGCAATAGGTCCCTAAACAAGATACAAGTAAGACACTTTTATATTTTATGCTTCAGAACAAATAACTCTAATATTGCAACAAAGTACATTAATAATTTTGGGTATATTTGACACATTAAGCGGAAAATACCAATATTTTCATGATTATATTAAGCGGAAAGTATCGAGTTTGCATGATTATATTTAGCGGATTTTTTATGCTAATATTAGTTCCTTTGCCTTGAATGAATAAATAAAACAATTCTGTTTTTAAAAGAAGTGTGCGAAACATTTAAAGCAAAGAATTGAAAAAGTAAAGAATTGAAAAAAGTAAAGAAGTGATAGAGCTATTGAAAAGTAGAGAAAGAAGAAGAGTACATGTGTAATTGGAAAAGTATTAAAAGAGTACAAGAGAACAAAATGAAAAGAGATATTTGAATGTATTTTAAAAGAAATATGTTATCCAGAGCTATGTTTTGTTTTACATTAAAGTTAAAACATTTTAACTTTACTTCTGTTTCAATTTATGAGTTTTTTTTGGTGATAACCCTTGATACAGAACTTAAACTAGAACCATCTTAAGAACTTGACTAGCGTTCTACGTTTGTTTTGATTTTTGGTTTATCGCAAATGTGCTGAGCGCATTTATTTGACATTTCTAGTTATTATGCAAGTTAATGTTCACATAAAAAATAATGATACATGTTTCGTGATTTTTGTCAATAACAATGTCACTAAAATCCAGATTTTTGTATTGTTTAATACTTGATGCATATTATATTGCACGAATAGCTAGATAAAAATCTTAAAGTTAAGATGAATGCGGTGCAGGGGAGAAGCAATTGAAAACAGTTTTAATGAGAAATTCAAGCTTTCAAAATTTTCCCTTTTTTCAAATTATGTGGATTGTTTTTTCGATGTAATATTAAAATGTTTCTACAAATGTTAATTCAGCAGTAACTTTTCTTACTTGACAAACTTTTCTTATTTCTCTCAGCAGTGGGAGCATTGTTTTTGGTCCTCGGGTACAGTTCAGACCTACAGCTGAAGCGCCTGCTAACTCTAACTTCCGGCATGCGTCTGGAAATGGTATTTTGTCTAACGTCACATCCGGTACGAACGCCGTGAGCGTCACAACTGCCGGTATACCTATATGATAAAATAAATGTGGTTTTTAAAAACGTAGATAAAGTTTGAATCATAAGCTTAAGATCACATTATTTTTCGTGCAAAATTGAAATAAAATTACGTGTTTGTTTATTTAGTTAGTTAGTTTGAACATAGATATTTCATTAGGTATTTATGACGCGATTTTCGAGCCTTTACAACTATAGATACAACTTCCAAGTCCACTTCCTGCACCAACCGGACCTGGTTTCCTTTGTAACCGAACAACACTTGGAGCCATGATGCTAGAATTGTTAGGGAAAAATACTGTTTTTTTTCTGGTTTTGATATCTTACTCGAAAATATATTAACCATATATCGGAAATGTTCGGAAGTTTGTGAGACTATATATTAATTTAATAAAATTCAGTGAAATAGATGAGTGAAACACAAAATATGCACAAAATGAATTAATTGAACAAATATGAAAAAGTCTACAAATGGTATTTCAAAAACTAGTATGACTTCTGAAGTGAAAGTAACAAAAACCTCTTTTAGAGCCTCAACATAAGCGCTAAATTTAATCGTCTGCATTTTTGAAATTGTGAACTTTAAATTCAAGCTGTTTGTAAATTGTGACGTTGTTTTTGAATAAATATTTACATTTCACTATAGGCATTTATTTTAAAAACAAATGTGTTTCTGAATTATCAAATAATGTTTAATGTCAATAACTGTGTACATGGTACAAAGTCTGCGCTACATTTTGAACCTGTGCAATTTGGTTGTGTGTTATCTACGGTTTTAAAGATATTCCCACGAACATGGAAAAATACTTACGTAATCAAAATTAATTTTTTACGATTGATGAAAGTGTTCGTCTGCTTTTATAGCCATTTTACGAGGAGCATTCAGAATAAATCTGAATTGAGTCGCATGTTGTAAACAGAAATAATGAAATAATTATTATGAACAGAAATAATGTACTGTAAATATTATCGGATCTAAGCTCAATCTTATATCAGTTATACATGTAATTTGTTAATGAACACCCACCTTCCGCATGTTCTTTAATCACTTCAAGGGCGAGGAGTGCTTCACCCAAATAACCAAACGTTTCAGCAATGATATAGTCGCAACCACCCTCCACAGCCCATTTTACCTGCTCCTATATACAAGAATTACATCAGACGACAAATTGTACTGTTTTAACAAATTTAAACTTTTAAGAAACATCAAAAGTTAGTTTTACATGTATAGTAATGGTTCTTAAGAACAAAATAATAATTGAATAATAGCGCTGTTTTACTACCTATATAGTGTCGTCTGCTTTGTAGTGATTGAATGCAAAATGAAATGCCATTACAGATATACATGTATAAAAAATGAATATAGCAAGATTTGTATAAAAATTGTGTACGACATTTGTATGAACTGTATGGCTTACAGTGAACATCTGTTTTGTTGATTCGTGAGAATCTTTGTCGTCTGCACTATAGACGCCGGTCACGCAAAGGTTTCCCGCCATAAGCGTCCCCGTCTTGTCTGCTACCTCACGTGCAATACGAAGCGCATTCTTGTTGAGTATTTCAAGGTCATCTTCCCGACCAATGGATCGCAACTTTTCCCGATGACCATAATACTGACGACAAGAAAAGAAAGCAGTTTATCAGCAGCACACCCAATTTCAATACATGCAAATGAGTACGGAACGTCCTGATGTTCTATAGTACAGTAAACTTCTAACTAGGAGCTATAAAAGCCTAATTGGAGCATTGTAACTGCTACTTAGGAGTTAAAAAAGTCAAATTAGGACAAAACAAAGCGAAATTTGAAGTTAGAAATTAGAAATTAAAATCCTTGTTAGTACTTTGTATTAAAATCTTTTTCAGGAGTTACAAAATTCTGAGAAATTTTTTTATTTTTCTAAGGCTTTTCAAATTCCTATTCGGGATATTTTATTTCTTCTATTTAGGCTTTTTTCTCTTAACTTTTCCTTCATATAGACGTGTTTTGACGGCTTTTTGCCCCCCCCCCCCCTTTGAGGCCTCAAACAATGAAAAAATGCCCTATTTAGGTCCCAAACATTGTTTTTTCGTTTGAGAAATGTTGTTAAAAAAGTGACCACTTTTTCGGCGCGGCCCCCCATCAAAATGATACATCGCCAAGAAAATTTTGGACATGTGACAGGCTAAAAATGAAATCAGGTCGATCTTAAGGTGACGTGTAACGAACGCTGAAAAGCTTTTTACTCTATCTCATTGCATTGAGAAGTTGCAGCACTTTGAAATCAGTTTTGGTGGGAAAAAACAATGCAAAATAGAGATGTTTCGCAATTTGAGACGTCCCCCCGTTGTCACGGTAACAGGAAATTTAAGATTGAGCATGTTGTCAGTCAACATATGTGCCAAGTTTCATCAGTATTAAAGCATTTTTCATAGTTTTATAGCAGTTGGAACTTGTAACAGGAGGTTATTCAATGAAAATTGCCATTTTTCACAATATGCTCATGGGGTAAAACGTTAATTAGGAATTACAAAGTTCTTATTAGGATATCATCTTTCCTAATAAGGATTTTTAAACTCCTAATTTACAGCTACAGCTAAGTCATAATATTTCTTTAATTACTCCTAATTAGAAGTTACAAAGTCCTAATTAGGCTTTTAAAACTTCTAATTAGGAGTTATATAAGTTTTCTATAGGACATAGGAAACTTCTTAAACTGCAAAAATTGTAATGCGGCTCAAGCAAGCTATATCCGTGATGTAGGGTCAATGACCGTAGGAAGGTACGAATCTTTGGCATACTTAAAATGGTAAGAGGTCAATTTATTATCACCATGTAAGATATCACGGGGATCTAATCTAATTAAATTGTTGGGTTCAAAAATAACAAGTAGGTTTGTGTAACATTGCATGACTGGTAAAATTTGTAGAACGAAGTCAAGGTAAACCGCGAGATAGCGGACGGTAAACAAACATGAAGTTGAATGGGTGACGTAAGTCCATTTTGAACACTATGTTGTAAACATTGAACTTGAACTTTCTCATGATTCTTACATGACACGGTTATCATATACCATACTTTGACCATGATAAAATATTTCATATCTTCATAACCTATGATCCACTGTGAAAGTTCGAGTACAAGAGCTTCAGTAGATAGCCATCTCATGTTTAGTTCATGCTAAATAGGATTCAGGTCAGTTCACATGCATGAATGCAAAAAGCAGTTGAAAACAAACATTTTTAAAATATTAAAACTTTCACTCAAGATGATAATTTACAGCTTTAATTCCATAACAAGAGCACTTGCAAGCAGGGGTCATACTTGACTTTTTCTTTGTACAAGACAGAGGCCTTCTTGGTAAGAAGATATTCAAAGGTCAAGAGCAACTTTAAGTGACACAATACTAAAAGTGTTTTTGTCCAAGTATAAACCAAATCCATCTATAAAAAACAGAGTAATCGGAAATTTGATAAATCTACAGTAGAAAAGTATTCCCTTTACGGTCAAGGTCATAGAAAGGTTAAAATCTTTTCACCTTTGACAGTACGAATGTGTTATCCAACATGTCGCTGTGCCCAAAGGTCAATCAATTATGTGCATAAATTACAAAATTCTGCATAATTAAAATAATTTTTTGAATTTTAACTTGAGGGTCAAGGTCATGTCTTAATAATTTTTCTCAGTGGCGGCGTGGCCGAGTGGTTAACACGCCGGACTAGTAATCTAAGGATTGATACCCGCGTTGGTTCAAACACCATCAGGGGCTAGTCATTGTTTACGTGAGCGAGAAAAAATTACACTCATTGCTTAGTATTGGCTGGATCCAGGAACGGATTTGAGCTGTGTTGTTACGTTTAAGTGTAAATGAACCCTTAACGGGCTGAATTTATTATTTATTTGGAACTGTCCTTTATAAATGTTAGGAACATCAACATAAGAACTTAAAGTCAATAACCAAGAATAGTGAGCCTTCGTGGATTTGCAGGTTGAACTGGATCAACAACGACGACAGAAGTCAATCACTTCCGGTTCAAGGAGGTTTAGCATTAATAACAACAGTTTGACCAATTGTACTGAAATGCAATACTTAGACTTGAAGCTTACGGTTTTTAAAGGTCAAGGTTATACTTGATTTGCTTTATTTGATGATTTTGTCCTAGGTGTGGTTTAGTCAAGAAATGAATCGAATTAGGTCGTTATTTACAAAATTATGACAAAGGACAAACTTGAATATTTAACACGTCAGTTTTGTCATAAGTCCTTGTTTGTCCAAGTATGAATTAAACAGTCCACCAATAACAAAGTTTTTCCAATTAAATTAGTAAATTAAAAAAAATCGACCCTGTCCTTGTCAAAACAAGTTCAAGGTCAAGCTCAAGGTCATATCGGCATTTGAATTGCTCAACATAAGGGTTTCATGTATTTCCAAGTACGGATCATATTTGTCCATTGATAACAAAGTTATGCTCATTTTCAGGGAAATTCAATATATATACCAGGAAGAGCAAGGTCATATAAAGTTCAAGGTCAAATTCAGTTCAATCTTCTAAAAAGGTATTTTTAAGGGTTATTATACCCAAGAAGGAATAAAATAGATCCATCTACGTAGTAATAGTCAGTTAAAGCAAACTTCAAGGAATCTGCCTGTAAGGTCAAGGTCGTTTGTCGGTCAAGGGCTAAGTCCTTACACTATATGCAAGGAGGTTTCATTACAACTACTTTTGTGAAGTCTGATTTAGAGAAGAAGCGCACGTTAAATGCCAAACGGCCGTATAGACGAAAAGTCTCGCGCTAGTATATCCCTTTACAAAAATCTGGAAACAAAGTGATCCCTCGGAAGCATTAATCACAATAAAATTACAAGAGAATTGCAGACTCGGTTTGATTGAGTCTCTACATGAGGGATAATGAATACGTGCAACATCCCTCACGCCCCCTAGCTCCGGCTTGAGCGGTACTCAATTCTCAACACATCAATGATCCCGAAGGACCAGAAAAATATAACAACACTGAAGTGAAGTACGGGGCAACTTTTTATAGCTGCCACACAGCACTTGACACCTGCTGTTGTGAAGTATAAAAATCTGGAAACAAAGTGTTCCCTCGGAAGCATTAATCACAACAAAATTACAACAGAATTATGTTGGGGTATATCGGGATTTAATGAATTAACCACGTGTTTCATACGCCATCACCACTAATAAACCTCAATCGCAACTTTTCGGCCCTTTCCGTAAGTCTTCGGATAAGGTGATAATAGCCGAGAATGTTCCGATTGTAAAAAACCTACCGTGAAAGCCTCTACAACGTCACTTCCTGCATGAACGAATTCCTCGTGTAATGTACGCACCAATTCTGGATGTTCTATGACTACTTCCGGTACAAAACCTCCTGCCTTAAGATACCCACGTCTTTCGAATTCAAGCAAATATCCTTCCGCTATGACGATACTTCCGCCATCTTGTAACTGTTCACGTAGACCTGTAAAATGTTTATAGCTTATTGGTATGGTATATAGAAATGTTGTAAATGTTACGAAATCCTAAAAGTATAAAATAAAATAAAATTAAATAATGTAATGGTGTAATGGCGCGAATAAAACGTACTAACGCGAAACGAATGACGTAAAAACGCAAATCACGACTTTATTCGCGTTATTACGCCTTTTGTTTTGCGTATTTACTTCTTTTAAAATTCAAAAATGTAAAGGCGTTATAAAGGCGAATAAAGGCAATAATAATGCGAATCAAAAAGCATAATTACGCGAAACAAAAGGCGTGATAACGTAGATACAAAGTAACGCGAAACAAATGACGTTTTAACTTGAATTACGCCTTTATTCGCGTAACCATGCCTTTCTGATTCGCGTTATAGTGCCTTTTATTTCATTTGACACTATTATGCTTTCGTAGTCTTATACATGTAATATATTTTTTTTCAACATTTAATATGCATGTTTTACATGCATAAATACGACTGGAAACTCAATCGTGATCTAGAATGACACTACTGGCGTTTTGCCAATTATGATATGGTTGAATATATAGTTTAAATTCGTTAAAGAGTGTAATAAAAGTGTAAATCGTGGGGTATCTTCGTCTGTTACTCATTAAATTCGGCAGAATGGATCACAATAGGCGCTACAGAGCATGAGATCCTATCCAAGTTACCTTCTATCGTGTCAAATAAAAGTTCAAAATAAAAATATTCCTATAACCCTTTTATATTTTGTTATAAAGAAAACAATGACCTTGACTTATATATGTCCCAAAATGTTGGACCGGGAAATGTTTCGACATTTTCTAAATGTTAAACGCTTGTGCATGGGAACGGTATTCTAAAGGTCCAGGTTGACTCACCGGTTTTGCTGTAATGACAGAATGACGTCAAACATTGGGCAGATACGGCATTTATAAATAAGACAATATCTTTTGTCGTCTTGCTGTCATGGGAAATTCTATAACGATCGTCGGTAAAGCACAAGCCAGTGTCACGGTAAAGAGTAAAACTAAAGGCGACCGAAAAACCTACTAAAATACGGTAAAAGGAATGGTTTGCTAGTTTAGACGTCCATATGACGTCCAGGTGATGTTAGATTCTTTCAACTTCAATGGCAATAATTGTGATGGCAAATTAATATAGAAAGAACCACAAACCGCGGCCATAATTGCATGTATTTTGTAAAATAATGTACATGTATATGCACTCATGTCGATAACATAATCTAAGATGTTTCTAAAGTGTTGATTTTTTTACCGGAAGACGTGTCAAATTATTTGTTACACGGAAATAGACGGAAATACAAGAAAAGAGTCGAAATATCTCGGAAGTTAATTATTATCTGCTTGACTTATGTGGACAAATTGACGATAACCCTGTGCAATTACAACAGCTACTTTCTAGTCCATTTGTACCTATCAAGGTACAAAATGTACATGTATATGGAACATCACACTAGATGTAAGAACTGGTTTTATACATGTATTAAAAATCAGTTAACTGACTAAAAACCAATAAATATATAAAATGGAAAGTTTTTGCTAACTGTAAAATCATAATAAACAATTACGGTGCGTGCTTCAAATGCTGACATAAAAACATGCATGCTAACTGTAAAATATCGTAAAACTTATTTCGTTTGCTATATTATGAACCTAAGTAAAGCTTGTTTTAATCAAAATGATATAACATATTTAGAATTATATTTAAAATAGATATTTGATAATTAAATCATTTTAGATAAAATACTCAAAAAAATAAGAAACCTTTTACTGTCTTTTTCGTATCCATTTTTCTTTCGACGCGTCTAGTAGATAGGGGAGTTTACTCAAGATAGGATGATAACAAAAAAGATATAGCAAAAATAGTCTCCCTTAGTTATCATTATCGTAAATAAACTTTAAACAATCAGTAAACTATTATTGTTTGATTTTATTAACCTGTCAATTCCATACTAATTATACGGTCAATGCACAGCATATATTAATATTCGATAAATGCTCGGTAAATTCCGTGAGAATGTCCAACGTGTTGTAGATCGAGACATAGTATGTCCAGGTTTTTTTCTTATTCATAACTATTTTCAACATTTTTGAAGTTATGGTTGTTCCGTTTTTAATATGTTTTTGCACTTTTTTTGTAAATACTATACTTTTGTATATAACATTGTTATATTATAACTGTTTGTTATAATAGAATTAATTCTGAAAATTCATTCGGATTAAAATCAATAAAATGTAATTTCAGTACACAAAATGTGACAATTCAGTGTTTCTTAGGTGTTTCATATCCGTGTAGAAAATTTTGCAGGCGCTTGACCATTTTATTAAAAAATTCTTAAAAATAAAGAAAGAATAAGTCTAAAAAGAAAGCCGAAAGAAGGGATCGAACCTCGAACCTCTCATGCAGTAGGTAATCATTTAACCGGCTGCGCTATTGCGGATGTTACGAGAATTTTTATTAAGCTAGTGGGAGTTTTCCAAACGTTAGTTATATACTCCATATTAATTCTCGTAAAATAAACGGACACAACCGAAGTGGGATCGAATATTTAAATGAGTGCTATAATGTATTCATAATTGACAGGTCAATAAAATCAGACTATACTGGCCAGGCAAATTACATTTCATAGCGTATTTTTTCCCATTTCATATTGAAATCCCTAAATTTTCAATTGGACTTTTCCAAAATCTAAGTTGGGCATCTTAACAAATTCAAAATGGTTTAGAAATGTTTTGTATCGTATTGCATAACTGCTACAAAGGAGTAAAAAAGGTCAATGTTCAAACTTCTCAGTTGTTAAATTTTGAGTCAGTTAAAAGATCGACGGTCAAATCTACCTCGAGCTTAAGTTGAATTTTGAGACAGCATATGGAGACAGAATGTCACATTTTTATTGTTATGATCGTAGAAGTTTATGAACTTCATTCAGATTGCCCCTCCCCATAGCTGCTGCCCTACGCACTGTCACAAGACCACTATTTGATTACATTTGTAAATCTGCATTTCAATAAAACTCAAATGGCTGCGAGTTGTGAACTAAAGGGGAGTTACTCAATGCATACTGTTTATTAAACTCCCATCGCGGTCATTTCCCCTGATCAGTACGGACATTACAAGTAAGCTTGTTTATTAAAATGCTCTTTTGAAAAGCAGTTTTTTAGCACATTATATTTCGAACCGAAGTGAGATTCGATGATAAAACGACAAAAGTTAGCGGACTTTACACGATTTGCGATTATGACATGAAGGGACACTTATCCATGCCTTGGCCTGCGCAAAAGTTACAATCAATGGGAGATAATTGCGATATGCGTGATGGAAACCTTCAACTTGCAAGGTTCATTTAGTTCCCTTTGTTAGCTGTAAATTCAGAATAAAAAATATGTAATGAGACATATAGCTAGATTCAGATTAAGGACAAAGACCTCTGGTATAAAACTGACAAACACCTCCCATTTACCACGTCATCAGATACATACGCCTGACTTTTCCACTCCTTACATTTGGAGAGCACCCAGTTATTAGAAGATATTTGTTTGATTTGGTTTTACGTCACACCGACTCAGTATAGGTCATATGGCGACATTTCATGTTTACTGATGGTGGAGGAAGACCTCAGGTACCCCTCTGTGCATTATTTCTGGCACGAACGGGCACCTGAGTAGAACCACCGACGTTCCGTAGGCTAGCTGGATAGCTTCCTCACATGAAAGAATCTAAAGTCCCTGTCGGGATTCGCACCCACAGCGGTGAGGGGCAAGGGATTTGAAGTAAACGACCTTAACCACTTGGCCACGGATGGCCTTAATTATATATAGGATATCGCAGCTTTACTGTAGCAGACGATATGGCGCCGTTATATGTCGTAATGTCGCTAAATGTCGCACTTGCCACTAAATGTCGCACCATTTCCGCTAAATGTCGCAACCACCGCTAAATGTTGCAAAATCTGCTGTCGTTCAATGTCGCAATGGTAATATTAAATGTCGCACGATTTTCCCTTGTCATTAAATGTCGCAGCACTACCGTTTGATTACAAAATCAAGTTAGCTGGTTGTATTAAATTACAATAAACATTGAGTAAATGTCTGTACATATTTAGTAACTTTTCGATAAATCTGCCAACTAAAAGGATGACAAATGCTTCTTAAAGTAGATTGAACTATAAATGGCATATTTTCAAGAAATACAAGTTATTCAAAAATTGGCAAAACTAATATAAATTATACATAACATTTGGATATTCCTTATACAATTATATAAATCTAGTTGTACATGGCATTTATATAATAATTTAGTAATATATTGTTTGTTCAAAAACATTTTGAGAAATTAAAATCTTACTTTGTTCTTTGTATAAAAACGTAATTAGAAAGTAGAAAGTTCAAATTAGGTTTTTATTTAGTCTGTTTATGGTCTTTTGAGGATCCTTGTAATTAAGATTTGATTTCTCATAATTAGGCGTACATGTATTTCTTATCAATAATTACAAAGTTGTTATTAGGTTTATTTCTCCTAATTATTAGTAAAAATTCCTATTTAGTTGAAACTGGTAGTACCAAATTGAAGTAAGGTTTTTTATTTCTCCTATTTAGGAAAATCAAAGTCCTAATAAGACTTTTATAGCTCTTAATTAAAAGTGAAAAATATTTATTAGACCTATAAAACTCTTAAAAAGAAAAAATAAAAAGTCGTAAATAGCCTTTTGAAACTCCTTATTACGATTTCAATTGTTTTAAGAGCATTAAGATTTTGCACCAGATTATTCTTTGAAAAGTGATTTTCGACCATGCGACCACATACATGCATCGATGACATGTTGTTAGGAAGGTGACCGTGCGACCACATACACGCATCACAAGGTTCCCCTTCTCTTACGAGAAAGGGACAAGAGTTGTCCGCCCTTTATTAAAGGGCTGACCATTTCCTTATTGTTATTGATAAGGAGGCTAATTTTCATAGATATCTTTTGAATTGGTTTATATACAACAATAGTAACGCAAGCAAAGTGGGTATCAGTTTACATCATTTTAAGTCCGCTATGAAATTTTAAAAGTATCATAATTATATAATTTTTTGGAAAATTATGATTTTAAAGTTTTTTTTTCTACTTTCCATTCTATGTATATAACAGTATTATTGTATTTTTTGCAAAACATGAACGTTTCAAAAACGTTTTATATGCATTGACTATGACAGATATATTTCACACTTTGTTTATCAAATGTTAACCTAGAGGCATTTTTGCCAAAGTACGCATATAATTTCTATATTCGACTTATTCTACTTATAATAGAAAAGGTTATGTGATGGACTGCAAGAAAAAAAAGATATATTAAACTTAAGCAGCTGACAATTTTGACACTGGTTAGACTAAACATATTTGTTAGTTTTATCCAAGCTTGATTGGGTATTACATCACACCGACACAGTAAAGGTCATATGGCGACGTTCCAGCTTTACTGGTGGAGGAAGATCTCAGGTGCCCTTCTGTGAATTATTTCAGGCACGAACGTGTACCTGAGTAGAACCACCGACGTTCCGTAAACTAACTGGATAGCTTCATCACATGAAAGAATCCAAAAGTCCCGGTCGGGATTCGCACCCACAGCGGTGAGGGACAAGTGATTTGAAGTCAACGACCTTAACCACTCGGCCACGGACGCCTCCAAGTTTGCAGGTAAAAAGCCGACACAAAATATAAAAAAGCTCTGATCTGAGATTGAATTTTCATTGAATTTTTATGGAATAGATTTCTCGTTGTATTAGATCCATTTCAAACTGATGTCGTAGCTGGAACCCACGATATCTGTATTGCAAAATCTAAAACGTATACAAATGTGTTTTATCACCAAGGAGATCTTTGGCATAAATTAGTGTTATTAATCTATAATACCATATAAGATTGCTTCATTTTCAACCAATATTACTTATTAATATTACTATCTGATAGATAGGTAGTCCCAAGATCAAAAACATCAAGTTGATATTGTCATAATATCACCAGTTGTTTAACATGAATAATAATTGCGACATTTATCGGCAGTGTTGTGACATTGATCGGTAAGGGAAAATGGTGCAACATTTAACGGCAAAATATTTTGCGACATTTAGCAGCGGTAGTGACATTTAGCGGCAATAGTGCGACCATTGTGACCAGCGCGACATAGAACGGCGCCACAGACGATAAATACATCCACGCATTAATTTCTTAGGGTCAGCGTCTTAGTGCGTGCTGACGACTGGCATACAATTTGGTTAAGTAACTTCAATTAATATCTAACAAGTCAATAATAGTGAATTAAAGTTAGAACATACGACCCGACCCGTACATACGTAAATCAAACTTTTAATAAAGCAGATCGTATACGGGGTCGAAACCTGATCACTTTGCAAACGATATAAATCAAGAATACATCTTAAAGCAGTATGCCCCTAGATTTGTCTAAAATAAATTTTATTAAACGTATACCTATGTCCGAGTTTATAAAGATGTTTGAGCTGAAACTCAGATCTCCGATATTTGGTTGGCCAGAAACCGGCCAATGAAACTAAAAAAGATTTGATACAAAGTTCTGCAAAAAGTTTTATAACCATGAGGTTAGTTTTGTTAACACAGTGTATCATTTAACCTACCTATAACTTTTTAATAAATGGGTAGCAGAAATATTTCTTGGGGATAGAATTTTAATATGAAATGCATAATGCATTCAAAATTTCTTCTGAACTGGAAATGTTAATTATACATACATTTTTTTCTTTCAAAAAAGTTTTATTGTCTTTTCCCCAAAAGTCGTGCCCGTTTTTAAATGCAATTTTTTTTGATCGAAAACAGGTTCTTTGTCGAAAAACTAAAAAATCAATACCCAAATTA